ACAGAAAGGGCCACATAAACCAGAGACTTCATCAGCCTGAGACCAGAAGAACTAGATGGTGCCCGGCTACCACCAATGTCTGCCCTGACAGGGAACACAACAGAGGCCCCTGATGGACCAGGAGAAAGGTGGGGTACAGAACTCAAATTCTAGTAAGAAGACCAGAGTTAATGGTCTGACTGAGACTGGAGGAACCCCAGAAAGCATGGCGCCTGCATTCTCTGTCAGCAAAGAAGTAAAACAATTTCCGAGGCTGACTCTTCAGACAGGGATTGGTCTGGAATGTGGGACATAAAGTGATATGCGTGAGGAGTAGATCTCTTAGCTCAAGTGGATACAAGAGGCTAAACAAGCAGCTTCGCTCCGGAGCTGAGATGGGAAGGCAGAGAGTGTTAGGAGCTGGTTGAATGGACATGGGGAATCGGGTGGAAAGGAGGAGTGTGCTGTCACAGTATGGGGAGAGCAATTAGAGTCACATAATGATGTATGTATAAATTTTTGTATGGGAAAAAAAAATTTAAAAAAAAATCAGATTTCTAAGGTGCCATAGTTAGAATTCTGTCATCACACTTCGTTGTGTTCTGTGGTTTCAGATTCTACGCCCAGCCCTGGACAAGCAGGAACACGGGGAGAATTTGCAGACACAGTACCCACTCTTGGGTCCTTAGCCTCGCACAGCACCTGGCATAGAGGAGGCACTTACTATAATTTCATTGATTCTTTTATCATATACATGAATGAAGAAATTAAAAAATGTATAGCTAGAATATGCTGAGTTCAGATGAGGTGGGAGTTCTAATTAAATACTATTCCTTAAGATACTTCTGTGAATTGTATCAAAGTAGTGCTTACTTTCTACTGGGCATTAGGAGCCTGGGTGGCGCAAATGGTTTACGATCGGCTGCTAACCTAAAGGTTGATGGTTCGAACCCACACAGGAGCTCTGTGGAAGAAAGGCCTGGCAAACTGCCTCCGTAAAGATTGTTGTTAAGGCACCGTCGAGTCGGTTCTGACTCATAGTGACTCTGTGTACGACAGACTGAAACACTGCCCGGTCCTGTGCCGTCCTCACGATCCTTGCTGTGGTGCACATCCAGACTCACCTTGGCTAAAACAGAACTGTTGATAGGATCTCTGCTAGGCATTGAGAGCCTTTTGAATCTGTCTCCCCTCCTTGTCTTCCGCATTTCAGTAGACAGAGCTGTTTTTCATTCTGCTGGACCAAAGCCCAGGAGTTATCCTGGACATGTCTCTTTATGTCACCCTCCATGTCCCAGCCATCAGCAAGCCCTGTTGGCTCTACCTTCAGAATATATTCTGAATCCAAACACATTCTCCCACCCGCACGGTCACCTAGCTGGTCCAACCCACCCCATCGTCTCTCCCGAGTGATTGCAGTGTGTCCTAAATGGTCTCCTCTCCGCCCCTGCCCCACTGCGGTCTGTTTTCATCAGCCAGTGGTCTTTTTAACGTGTGAGTGAAATGACGTCACTCCCCTTCTCTAAATCTTCTGTGGACTTGCTATTGCATCTAGAATCAATTCCAGAATCTTCTGCGTCGCCTTCAAAGCTGGATGTGATCTGGCCCGGCTTTCCTCTCTTACTTCACCCCATAGCGCCCTTTTCCTGCCGCATCTCACCCTCACCACGCGGTCTTCTTGCTGTTCTGCAAACATGCCAAGCTCTAGTACTCTACCAGACCCTGAACGCAGTATTCTTTCTGTACAGAACGATCTTCCATGAGCCTGAGCCCCCCTTCCAAAAAGGGAAACCAGTGGTACCTATCTCAGAGGGTTTTTGTGAAGATTAAATTAGTATAGTAAAAGCACTTAAATGGTATCTGGCACAGAGTAAGTACTGTATCCCAAACCCATTGCTGTCAAGTCAATTCTGACTCATAGCGACTCTATAAGACAGAGTAAAACTGACCCATAGGATTTCCAAGGAGCAGCTGGCGGATTTGAACTGCTAACCTTTTGGTTAGCAGCCTGACCACTTAACCACTGCACCACGAGGGCCTCAAGTACTATATAGCTTTAGCTATTATTTTGTTGTTTGTTGTTATTGTTATTCTTCTAGGGAACATAGAGGAGACATGCATTCTGGTTGTGTTGAGTTTTAGATGCTTGCGAGATGTACAGATATAAACGCGCTATAGGCAGTTGAATGTAGTCATTTGGAGTGACTAGTGTAGTAAGAGGTATCCTAGTGCCTTGGGAGAATGAGCAAAACTTCTAGTTCTAATTAGAGTCCAGAGATTACTTTGAGAATTGGAAAGATACTGATAATTAACTGTCTTGTGTTTGACATATCTGACTCCCTGGGTGATGAAAATGGCTAATGCACTCGGCTGCTACCTGGAAGGTTGGCGGTTCGAGTCCACACAGAGGAGCCTTAGAAGAAAGCCCCACTGATCTGCTTCTGAAAAATCAGCCGTTGAAAACCCTGTGGAGCACAGTTCTGCTCTGTGAGATCATCATGGGTCACCATGAGTTAGGGCTGACTTGGCGGCACCTGTTTTTTTTTTGATTTTTGATTTGACGTACTCTACAGAGCTTTCAAAATAGATGGCGGCCGTCCTGCTGACAGCTCTGTCTGCTCAGATAAAATAATTCAACTATTTTTGTGGTTTAGATTTTCTTTTGTCTAATGTTTTGTAGTGAGCCGAGGCCTGGGCATTGCTGTGGAAGTCCGTCCTGCTGCTTCTGGAAGCTGGCGCTATGCATCCAGACCCTGGGTCCTTACAGACACTGCTGTGTAGCACCCTTATGCTTCTGTGCTCTTCCGTAAGTTCAGGTGAGCGGATCGGAATCCTGTGAAAAACAAACTTTGATTTCAGTACTTGGCTCATAAAGTGGTTTCTAAAGACATTGCTGAGATTTCTTTGACCAGCTACATGATTTAAAAACCTGACTGATGAAGGAGCTTCAGGGCCTTTGCTTAGATCTAGTGGTGCTCCTGTGCCTCAGCAGCCCTTCCGATCATCATCTGTGCAATTTATTCTTTTTGTTGCCTTAAAAATAAATATTTTCCAACTGTGCATTTTTCAGCCAGGGGACATGTTACAAATTTTAGCTATATGAAAATTCTGAATTTGGAAATTATAGCAGGATTAAAATGCTGGCCGCATACCGCGAAGGAGACGTTTTAGGGTCAGCGTAGTACTGCTCAACTTGGGGTGAGAAAACTTAGTTGAAATCCCAGGTCTGCCACCTTTTCCCACGACCTCGCCTTTAGGTTATTAGAAACCTTAAATGTGTTTGTCATTAAATGTATCTATGAGCACCAAGCCTAAGACCTGGCACACAGGCGTTTCTTTTTATGTTATATTTGTATAAAGATGGATCTATAAGGCATGTACAAGTACAGTGATGTTTATTCATTAAATAATATTTATTGTCTATGTTAAAAATACTGTATAACTATATTAGACTTGGTAAAGGGAAAAAATTTAGTGATTTTATTCCTGCTTTTGTTTCACTAAACGACAACCTCAGATTCAGCCAAGAGGGGTACTTCCCTCAATCTTCATTTCTGATTCAGTATCCTATAAAAGTAAATTCAACAATTTCTTGCTTTTTTTTCTTTTAAGTATTTTATTCTACCAAATTCATTGTATTCCTGCCTCCTCCCCCTTTTTTGGGAGGGAGAGTCTGTTTTGGTCCTTTAGTGCAAGAATTCCCCTACCACAAGTTCCTGGGGTGATAGACCTAACAAATCAAACTATTGAAAACACCAAATAAAATATTCAGATTGTTTATTACCTTGTTGTTGTTGCTAGGTGCCGTCGAGTCAATTCTCATTCACAGCGACCCTGAGTACAACAGAACAAAACACTGCTCAGTCCTGCGTGATCCTCACAATCCTTGCTATGTTTGAGCCCTTGTTGCAGCCACCGTATCAGTGCATCTCCTTGAGGGTCGTCTTCTTTTTCACTGACCTCTTCCTTACCGAGCATGATGTCCTTCTCCAGGGACTAGTCCCTCTTAATAACATGTCCAGAGTACATGAGATAAAGTCTTGCCATCCTTGCTTCTTAGGAGCATTCTGGCTGTGCTTCTTCCAAAACAGAGTAGTTTGTTCTTCTGGCTGTCCATGGTATATTCGGTATTCTTTGCCAGCACCATAGTTCAAAGACATCAGTTCTTCTTTGGTCTTCCTTATTCCTTGTCTAGGTTACCTTATGCAACCTTATATCCAAAAAAGGATAGACTTTGTATTTCAGCTGTGGCTTCCTGACTTTGTTTTCTTAAAAGTTGAGCATTATTTTATATTAAAGGGAAGCAGTAAAGAGGTGCTATAGACTTTTGCTCTCAAAAGTCAAGTCCTATTGGTAAGGTAGGGGAGAATTTTTTTTGAAAGTCAGCTTTACTTTTTCAGATACTAAACTTCCATTTCTTACAAGTCACTGCTTTAAAATAATAGTTTGCTGTTCCTCATTAATAGAATTGGTATTTTATCTGCTTTATATCATATGGATTCTTGTCTATTCTACACTGATTATTAAGTCCTAGGCTGATATTTTTTTCTTCCAAAACTGGGCTGTAAAAATGTTGCTGGAACTTCTACAGGCGTTAAGAACTATGATATACGTAGATAAAATAAAGACTTGCCTTTAGTTTGCAATGAAATGTGTTTAACGTACTCTTCTATGTCTCTTTCCTTTTTTCCCCTCTCTGTCCCTCTTTCCCACCTCCCTCCCCCCTTCCACATGGGGAATGTTGCCTTGTAGACTTGACACCTTCTTTTATTTCCGAGCCACTGTCTGCTGTCCAGAAACTTGGTGGACCTGTAGTACTACATTGTTCTGCTAAACCCGTGACCGCTCAGATCTCATGGTTGCTTAATGGAAAAAGATTGGATAGAAGCATGGAACAGATTAAGATGCATCAGGGGACTCTGACTATTCTTTCTCTTAACCCCTCCCTTTCTGGTTGCTACCAGTGCGTTGCCAATAATAGCATCGGTGCAATTGTGAGCAGTCCTGCAACAATATCCACAGCAGGTGAGTTTCACTTCATCCTTGTTGTGTATGATGTTTCCGGAAATTCCTGTGTTAGCGTTTGCGTTTCTGAGTAGTGAGAAGAGTATGGGCTTTGAAGTCAGTTACCTCTGTGTTCTCATCCCAGCCTAAACCTCTGCGAGCCCATTGTCTTCAGCTTCAGCAGGGGGTAGAGATGATTTTGTTTTTGTTTTCTGTTTAAATTACACAGTAAGGACAGTCGTCTAATGTGAATCCCGAATAGTTTTTTTTTTCGAGTTTTTTAAAAGTCCCTAACTTTGTTGTTAAAATTGTTGTCTAATGCTCCGTTATTTCATGCAGTTTTTATCTTTCTTTCACATCTAATGGTTTTATTTCCCTTGATTACTGAGTGATTTTAATTTAAGTAATTGAAACCAGGCTAAAGGAGCAGGAAAAAAATAACTGACTGTAAGGAAAGGAATGTTGAGAATTGAACTTATGGAAAATCTGGAGTGAGTGGTTTTCTTAGTAAGTTTGAGCCATCTGCCTTTCAAATGGTGATGGCTTCCAGTAATGGAAAACTTCTTCGTAAGGGCACCCCTATTTACAGAACAATTCTGGATTCCCCAGGAGTAGTGAGTTTGTCATAACTGAGAAGAGTAAATGTTTTTGCAGAGCTGTGACCCATGGGCAGCTCCAAGCCACACACTGGAGGGCTAGATTCCTCACAGCAGCTGCTCAACGCTCTCTGCCTTGGAGATGATAAAGAGCCCTTCCAGGCTTCCTCCTTCTGTAGTAAACTTACGCTGAGAGGAACTGAGACCCCAAGTTAATGTACTCAGATACTTCCAATGGTGTTAATACTTTGTTTTTCATGTCCTCAGTTAATATGGCAGTGTGAGTAGCTACAAACAGAATAACAATGCATAGGAAGAGTGAGTTTTCATGAGGGAGAGGATTGAAAAGGATTTATCTTCATGGAATGTGAATAATTATGCTTTATAGTTCTTCTTTTTATATATGTGTGTGTGTGTGTGTATTTTTTTTGGGTGATGTTTTAGGAGCAGTTTGTTTTTCCTATAGTCCCCTGGAAGCAGTGAGCTCTGAAAAAGAGTGTCATGACTTAGCTCTCAGCCCTCAGCTGTGCGTCCCTGCCCATCTGCTTTCTGAGATGAAAAGATCACACCGCTCCCTGGATTGGGATCAGCGGCCACACAAGGCCGGATTGTAGATGTGATTTCCAATCTTGTTTCCTTTAGGAAAGAGAATTAAATTGGCATTTATTTATTTGTTTACTTACTTATTTAATTTTTATTTTAGTTCTTGGTGATTTTGGTTCACCAACAAAGAATGTTATTACAGCAGAAGAAAACAGTACTGCTTTCGTTGGCTGCAAGGTACCAGACAGTAACCCCAAAGCTGAGGTGCGCTATAAAATACGGGGAAAATGGCTGAAACATTCCACAGGTGAGACCTTTTATAAAATGCCGATGACACACGCAGAACAAACAGCCTACTGTTCAGCTCTGTGGGGTAGGCACTGTGGATTCAGAAGGAAACAAGAGACATTGTCCCCGCTCTCAGGAAGCCAAGTGGAAGAGCTGAAACAAAGGCCCACAGTATACAGATGATTCTGACTCAGTACCACAGGCCTCCAGCCTTGAGTCATTCAGGTCTCTGCTCAGGCATCAGGTAGCCCTCAGATAACACGTCCTGCCACTCTCTGTCCCCTTGACTCAGCTTTGCTTGCCTGCAGAGGGTTTATCACAGCTGACATGGTTTATTGTTTACCCCTGTCTCTGCCACCCGCCTTCCCCGCCCTGGGACAGGAGCTGCCCCAGTACTGTGTTCAGTGCCGTGTCACCTGTACCTCGGCCATTGCCTGGGGAAAAATAGGCACTCAGCACACACGCGGTGAGAAAAAGGAATGACTGGACGGGGAACGAGTACCACGTGATCAGTGTTACAGGAGCGGGTTTGTCCAGGGTGGTAGGGTGGTCCCTGGGTGGCCCAGACAGTTTGTGCTTGACTGCTAACCTAAAGGTTGGTGCTTCGAACACCCCCGGCAGTACCACGGAAGAAAGCCCTGGCAATCTGCTTCTGTTAAGATTGTTTCAGTTTGCTGTTGAGTCTCTTCTGACTCATGGCGACCCCACGTGTTGCTGAGTAGAACTCTGCTCCATAGAATTCTTGTGGCTGTGACCTTTTGGAAGCAGATTGCCAGGCCTTTGTTCCGAGGCACCTCTGAGTGGGCGCTAACCATCAACCTTTTGGTTAGTAGCTGAGTGCTTAACAATTTGCATCAGCCAGGGACTCTCCATCCCATTAACATTACAACCAAGAAAACTCTATGGAGCATTCTACTCTGTAACACGTGGGGTCGCCATGATTTGGAATCAATTCAATGGCAGTGGGTGTGGTGCTTTTTTTGGTAGGGTGGACATTGTATCTTTGTCTAAACGTGTTTTTTCTGTTTTCAGTATTCTCAGCGAGTGGTCTATTAAAATGTTCATGATGGATTTAATTTTGTTGCTTTAGTACTGTTGACTCTTTTCTGCTTTTCCTTTTCCTTTTCCTTCATGTCATGAATTTTCCTTGATTGCGTATTTGCTGCTCGTCTTATGTCTAAATTTAAAACCTAACGATCAACCATGGTTGGTTTAGTTGTTCTGCGATGTTCTTCATTAAAGGGCAGAAGCCTAACTATGCGCCCCTTCCTTCCTCAGATAATTACTTAATCCTTCCATCAGGAAATCTTCAGATTTTGAATGTATCCTTAGAGGACAAGGGGTCATATAAATGTGCTGTTTATAATCCTGTGACAGAGGAATTGAAAGTTGAACCCACTGGCCGAAAGCTCCTTGTGAGTCGTAAGTATTTGGGAGAATAATGGTAGCCAGACAAGGAAAAGTCCTCAAAAAGAAGTATTCCTCATAAAAACACTGGGAAATGAGATTCATTTTTGTTTCAGATTCTATTTGTTTATCATATGAAAATTTAAAAAAAAAATAAACACTATTGCATTTTAGAACAGTACTATGTATATTTTAAAAATATAACAACTTTATAGAGGGGAATTTTGGTTGAGATGACAGAGTAAATACATGTGGAAAACTTTTCCCGGTACTCTAACAAAAAGAAAATTATAGAGAAAATACGACTTTATAGCAACGGTAAGCATCTTGGTGGCTGATTATGAATTATTTAAAAAAATGTACCTGTTTTCTTTGAACTCAGATGTTTAGATTCTGGTAGTTGCGCTGAGGTAACATCAATGCTGAAAGCACAGTAAGGTAGTGGTTTCTGAACGTTTTGAGAATTCTGTAGTTTCAAACTGCCAATTTAGAAATATCCCTAAGAACCACAAAATCTTTTAATTTTGGTTCTCAACTACAAATGATTTCACTCCTGCATAGGACCTTGTATAAAGAAGAATAAATGAAATAGTGGGAACGCTCACAGCTTTGCTAGGGAAGAGACGGGAAGTGAATTCTTAGTAAATTTTGGTCTTCCCTTCTCTTTCCAGGCCCTTCTTCCGAGGATTTTCACATTCTTCACCCCACGCTTTCACAGGCACTAGGTGTTCTTCCGCGGAGCCCTGTAACCCTGGAGTGTGTAGTGAGGGGGGTCCCAGCGTCTCAAGTGTACTGGTTGAAGGATGGCCGGGATATTGTGCTGGGAAGCAGCTGGAGAAGGTTGTATTCTCACCTTACCACAGACAGCATTGACCCGGGGGACTCTGGAAACTATTCCTGTATGGTGGGGAACAAGTCTGGAGACCTAAAGCATGTGACGTACATGGTGAACGTGCTGGGTAAGATGTGACTGTTTACAGTTTTGTGCTTTTTTTTCAGTAAGGCTATTTTGCTGGTCTGATGGATGTTTGAATGGAAGATCAATTTGTAAACTAAAAATGAAATAGGGAATATCTAGAAATATCTATACCAGTAGCAGAATCAGCTTTTATGTTTGTTACTGCTGAATTAGTCAGCATTTCTGGGTGGCACAGAACATCATTTCACATGAGATATTCTTGGGAACTCTACCCCCAGCTGGTTACATAATGCAAGCTTGTTTTCTCTTCATGGCATGGAGGAAATAAGTAGAATAACTATGCGAGTTTCTGGCTGTATTTAGTGTGTAGTAACCAGGAGGAGTAAGAAGGACACAGTACTGACTAGACAATGCCATCTCAAAAGGAAAACTACTTCATCTAATTTCCCCTTTTAATACACTTTGACCTGTATCTGGCTCACTCTTAGGCTCGTAAAATGTATGTTATTTCTACCCACATTTCTATGTATACTCTCTATCTCGGAGTTAAATTCCTTTTTTTTCCTCCCAGCTGTCTCTCACTATCGAGTGGCAGCAGTGAATGTTTTCGTCTATCAAAACGTTTGAAAACCAGGGGGGAGCAACGGATAGGAAGTAGATTCATAGTAAATATGAGTCTCGTGGCTCCTCTGCGTGCGCTTATTTCCAGCGTCGGCCTGATGTAGGTCAGCAGCACTGACGTTAGTCTGAGTGTACGGCAAATGGACGTTAAAATTCAGTGCTAATCAGGATTGGGTTCATACGCACAGTCATTTGATCTGGGCATGCGCTACAAAGGTCGATGAATGATGACTGACTGGGTAAAAAGTGAGTTTAAAGGACTTAAAGGAAGTTTTCTGTTATATACCTAACCTCAAAGTAGAATTGACCTTTGAGTAAACATTGTTCTGTTTTGGCTCTTGTTTAGTGTGAAATCCAGGGAAACTTGTACCTTATTTCCAACCAATTGCCAGAAACAAATGCTGAGAGAAGCCCAGGATTTGAAACTGTTTGTGTGTGTGTGTTTGTGTGTGTGTGTGTGTGTGTGTATTGGGGGGACCAGTGAGTGAGTGGGTGGAGAGAGTGTAAAAAAGAGACTATAACTTATTAGCAACTTATGGTTTATCTTTTTAGAGGTAAGTTGAAAGCTCATTTCTAATTTTTTCTTGATGACCAGAGCAGATGGGAGAATGTGAATGAGTGCAGCTTGGTTTCAACTAGTTATTGGTAGAGAGAAGATTTTGTATGACTCATGTGGTCATTTAAGAATTACACCTCGAGGACTAGAGTTTAATTTGCGTGTTTTATTTTCAGAACATGCTTCAATTTCTAAAGGACTGCAGGATCAGACGGTGTCTCTGGGTGCTACAGTACATTTTACCTGTGATGTTCATGGGAACCCAGCCCCCAACCGTACCTGGTTTCATAATGCACAGCCTATTCACCCTTCCCCACGACATCTAACCACAGGAAATGGGCTGAAAATCAGTAGTGTTACCATGGAAGATTCTGGGCTGTATCAGTGTATAGCAGATAACGGGATTGGATTTGAACAGTCTACTGGGAGACTTGAAATTGAAAAAGGTAGGCTTTCAGGTCATGTAACGAGGAAATTTATCACTAGACTTTTGTTGTGGTTAAGAATTCGATCATTTTTATTAAAAGAAAATAATCCTATCACCATAACAGAACTCTGTTCACTTCCCTTTTTTTCTTTTTGTAGTTTCATATAGACATTTCTCTGTGAAGCTCATTTTTAAAAAAAATAAAAAAAATTTTTTTCAACAGATGCTACATAGTCGAAACGGGTATAGTGGTAAAAGGTCTCCCTCTCACTCCATTCCTCAGCTAACTAGCTCCCCTCTTCAGAATTAACTGGTTTGATCAGTTTCTTGAACATCTTTGTATGTGCATTTACAAGCAGTTACACACACATGGATGGGTGAGTGTAGGCATTTTATAAAAATATTAGTTTTTATACATAAATGGCTGGAGCATTCAAAAAATTGAGGATATCTCAGATTTTTCACTTAATGTATATCTTGGATGTCTTCCCATGTGGTCTATAAAAGTTTATTCTCATTCCTATTTTTTTTTTAAATTGTGCTTTAGGTGAAAGTTTACAGCTTAAATTAGTTTCTCATAAAAAATTTATACATACATTGTCATGTGACCCTAATTACTCTCCTTATACTGTCACACACATTCCTCCTTTCCACCCTGGATTTCTTGTGTCCAACCAGCTCCTATCCCTTTCTACCTTCTCATCTCGCCTCTGGACAGGAGTTGCCCATTTGGTCTCATGTATCTGCTTGAACTAAGAAGCATACTCTTCACGAGTATCATTTTATGTCTTATAGTCCAGTCTATTCTTTGTCTGAAGAGTCGGCTTCGGGAATGGTTTTAGTTCTGGGTTAACAGAGAGTCCAGGGGCCATGTCTTCTGGAATTCCTCCAGTCTCAGTCAGACCATTAAGTCTGGTCTTTTTACTAGAATTTGAGTTCTGCACCCCACTTTTCTCCTGCTCCGTCAGGGATCTCTGTTGTGTTCCCTGTCATGGCAGTCATTGGTGGTAGCTGGGCACCATCTAGTTCTTCAGGCTGATTGAGTCTCTGGTTTATGTGGCCCCTTTTGTCTCTTGGGCTGATATCTTCCTTGTGTCTTTGGTGTTCTTCATTCTCCTTTGCTCCAGGTGGGTTTCTCATTCCTGTTTTAAATAGCTGCTTAGTATTCCATTGTATTGTTGTAATGAATTGACTGATACCTTATTGATGGCCCTTTCTAACCTTTTGCTGTTACAAATAGATCTACAGTAGAAAAATGAAACAGGACTCACACCTCACACTGTACACAAAAACTAACTCAAAATGGATCAAAGACCTAAATATAAACCAAAAACTGTAAAGATCATGAGAGAAGAAGTATGAACAACTTTAGGGACCTTAATATATGGCATAAATAGAATACAAACATAACTAAAAATACATCAACAGCAGAATATAAACTAGATAAATGGGGTCTCCTAAAAATTAAACACATATGCTTATCAAAAGACTTCTCCAAGAGTGAAAAGAGAGCCAACAGACTGGGAAAAAACTTTTGTCTATGACATATCTGACAACGGGCTAATCTCTATTTTATAGAAAACTTCAATACCTCAACAACAAAAAGATAAACAATCCAATTAAAAAATGGGCAAAAGATATAAATAGGCACTTCACCAAAGAAGACATTCAGGTGGCAAACAAACACACGAAGAAATGCTTGTGATTATTAGCCGTCAGAGAGACGCAAATCAAAACTACAATGAGATGCCATCTCACCCCAACAATAATGACACTAATCAAAAAAGAAAAAACCCCAGAAAACAAGAAATGCTGGTGAGGTTGTTAGGAGATTGAAACTCTTACACACTGCTGGTGGGAATGTAAAAAGCTGGTATGGCACTTCCTTAAAAACCTAGAATAGAAATACCGTATGATCCAGCAATCCCATTCCTAGGACTATGTCCTAGAGAAATAAGAGCCGTCACACAAATAGACATATGCACACCCATGTTCATTGCAGCATTACTCACAATAGCAAAAAGATGGAAACAACCTAAGTGCCCATCAACAGATGAATGGATAAACAAACTATTTTGCATACACGCAACGGAATATCACACAACAATAAAGAACAATGATGAATCGGCGAAACATCTCACAACATGGATGAATCTGGAGGGCATTATGCTGAGTGAAATAAGTCAATCACAAAAAGACCAATATTGTATGAGACCACTACTATAAAAGATCAAGAAAAGGGTTTTACACACACGCACACAAAGTCTTTGATGGTTACCAGGGATGGGAGGGAGAAGGAGGGAAGATCACCAGTTAGAAAGAAGAGATGTGTTAATATTGGTGAAGGGAAAGACATTACACAATAGGGGGGAAGTCAGCACAACAGGACCAAGGCAAAGGAGGGCACTGAGAGGAATGCAAGAATAAAGGGCAATGATGGAGATTACCATAATGGAGACAACCCTACAACAATAGTATTAACAAATAATAATCTAAAAATGGATATATAGGTAGAGAGGTAAGCTAAAGAGGAGTGCGAGCTGCAAGGGAACATACCCACCTGCAGATATAGTTTGGATTGCAGACATTACTGCGTACAGATTTGTAGATGCTGCATGGATAGACAATAGAACGCACAAGGGGCGAAGTTGCTAGGCTTGAAGGCTGAGGACCAGAGACTCTGGGGATATCTATGTCAGTTGACATAACTTAGTTCATAAAAACAATGTTCTACATCCTACTTTAATGAGTAGCATCTGGGGTCTTAAAAGCTTGCGAGTGGCCATCTAAAATACAACTATTGGTCTCATCCTGGCTGGAGCAAAGGAGAGTGGAGAAAACCGAAGACTCGGGAGCAGTTAACCCAAAGGACGAAGGCAGCACCTGAACCAGAGCCTACACAACGCTGAGACCAGCAGAACTAAATGGCGTGTGGCTACTACTGCTCACTGCTCTGACTGGGATCACAGTGGAGGGTCCCGGGCAGAGTGGGAGAAAAATGTAGAACAAAAATCAAGTGCATGAAAAAGACCAGACTTACTGGTCTGATAGAGACTGGAGGAACCGTCAAGACTATGGCCCTAAGACACCCTTCTAACATGGAGCTGAAACCGTTCCTGGAGACCACTTTTCAGCCCAACGATAGACGGGCCTACAAAAGAAACAGTAACACCTGGGAGGAATGAGCTCCTTAGAACAGTTCATTATATGAGCAAACTTCACCCGAAAGCAAAAATGAGAAGGCAGGAAGGGGTAGGAAAACTGGAGAAAAGGTTAACGAGGAACCCAGGACAAATGGGGAGAGAGCTGACGCATTGAGGGGACTGCGACCAATGTCCTGGAACATTCTGTGTACAAATTGTTGAATAGGAAACTATTTTGCTCTGTAAACCTTCACCTAAAGCACAATAAAATATTTTTTAATTGTGTAAATATCCATCTATCTAGATTATTTTGCACATGTTCAAGTATCTGTAAAATGAATTCCTAGAAATGAACTTACTGAATAAAAGCGTATATGAATAAGCTGTTTTGAAAGATAATAACAAATCGTTCTCCATAATTTTTAACGTTTACACTCCCACCAACAACGTATAATAACGTCTGTTTCCCCATACCCTCACCAGTGCAAGGCACTGTCAATTTTTTAAAAATCTTTGCCAATCCTGTAGGTTTAAAATTTATCTTTTAATCTGTATTTCTGTTATTATGAGTAAACTTGGGTATCTTTTCATATGTTTATGAGCCATTTGAATTTGCTTTCCTGTGTATTGACTTGTGATAGTCTTTTGCTCATTTTAAAAATTAGGTTCTTGGTCTTTTTTCTTATTGATTCATGGGAGATCTTTATATATTAGGGGAATTAGCATTTCATCTGTGGTATGAGTTATAAAGGAGCCCCCAGGTAGTACAAATGGCTAAGGGAAGCTACTAAGATTTCTTATGATGTAACCTCAGAAGCCATGCTGTATCACTTCCATTTCTTTTTATCAGTCAAAACGGATTTACAGAGAGAGCTCAGAATCAAGGGAGGGAGACTACACCGGAGCGTGAGTACTAGCAGGTGTGATTCATGAGGGATCATCTTTGGAGATTACCAAATGCCCCTCTCAAGTATTAATAGGTTAAACAGAACACTCCTCCTCACCTCCCCCCCCCAAAAAAAAATCTGTACAGGTACAGAAGATTTGAACTATGTGCAGTTTACAGTATTGATTTACTAGACATCTATAGAACCCTGCACCTAACAATTAGAGACTGTATATTTTGTTCTCAAGCATGCATGAAATATTATAATAATAGAGCATCCAGTCTACTAGGTCCTAAAGCAAGTCTTATATTTCAAAGAATCAGTATTGTCTTTAGTGCAATTAATTTGTAAGTTAATAATACAGAGATATTTTTCAAAAAGTCACCATGGACTTGGAAATTTGAATTTAAATCATAATGAAAATTTAAAATACTTTGAACTGAATGATACTGAAAATACCACGAATCAAGTTGTTTTGTGTACAGCAAAAATTGACCTTAGAATGAAATTTGCAGCCTTAGATGCTTATAAAAGAAAATTAGTAAGAACAGCAGAATTAATTCAGAGAAAGCAGAAGAAAAGAGATAATAAAGATGGGGCAGAAATCAACTAAATAGAAAACAAAAATAGGATTAGCAAAGATACGAGCTGCTTTTTTGCAAAATCTAATAAAACGGAAATCTTTGGCAAAACTGACCAAGAGTAAAGAAAGCATGTATAAATAAACAATATTAGGAATAAAAAGGAGGCTATAAAACACAAGTCGTATACAGATTAAAAATAATAAGACTATGATAAACTTTATGCCAATAATTTACAAATATAGACAAAAATGGACAAATTCTTAGGTACATATAACTTGGCAAAGCTGACTTTAATCAATAAAAATTTTGATAGTCCTACAGCTATGAAAGAAGGGCAGGAGTTAAAAATCTTCCCACAAAGAAAACAGCAGGTCAGATGGTTTTATGGAGGTTTTACTAAACTTTTTAGTAACAGATTATTTCAAATATTGTACAGACTCGTCCAGAGAAAAGGAAAAGATGATACACTCCCCAGTCAGTATTTTTCTTTTTAAATAATATTTTATTGTGTTTTTGGTGAAGGTTTACACAGCAGTTTAGGTTCCCATTCAACAGTTTCTACACAGGTTGCTCAGTGACCTTGGCTACGTTCCTCACAATGTGTGAACATTCTCATTACTTCCATTCTTGTTCCATTTCCATTAATCTAGCTTCCCTGCCCCCTTACATTCTCGTCTTTGTTTTAAAGTAATTGTTGACTGTTTGGTCTCATATGAGTGATGTTTTTAAAGGAGCACAGTTCTTGCAAGTGATATCCTTTATTTTGTGAGCCAGTCTGTTATTTAGCTATAAAGTGACCTCAGAGGTTAGTTTTGGTTCAAGATTTGAAAAGTATCTCAGGGAGTCTTCCAGTGTCAGCCAGTCCAGTAGATCTGTGTGCGTGTGTGTGTGATTTTTCCTTTTGGTAATTTGAGGTTCTGTTCCACATTTTCCTCTCTTTCTATCAGGGTCTGTCTATTGTGGCCCTGATTAGAACGGTTGGTAGTAGTAGCCGGGCACCGTCTAATTCTTCTGGTCTCAGAGTTGATGAGGTCCTGGTTCATGTAGACTATTAGTCCTATAGACTACTTTCTTCCTTGACTCTTTGAGGTCCTTTCTTTTTTGCTCCGGATGAGTAGAGACCAGCAGTTGTATCTTAGATGGCTGCTTGCAAGCTTTGAAGACCCTAGACAATATTCACCTAACTAGGATGTAGATCATAACTTTATGAACTATAGTATGCCAGTTGACTGAGATGTCCCATGAGACTATGGTCCTATCCTTCAAACTCAGAAATCCAATCCCACGAGGTGTTTGGTTATGTCTAAGAAGTATCTGTAACTGTGACCCATATGTGCTTTATTATTTATATATGTGCATTCAGTTACATGGATGCATATACATATACATATGCATACACCTATATATGCGCACATATTTACATACCTATACATACATGCCTAGATACATACAAATATACCCGCACATATTTTTTGGTGGTTTTTGCCGTTGTTCAGGCAGTATAGACTTGATTCTACAATTATAAACAGATGGTACAAGAAAGGAAAATTAAGCGCCAGTGTCAGTTATGAACGCAGGTGCAAAAATCCTAAAAAAAAATTAGCAAGCCAGCAATGTATAAAAACAAAATAGGAGTCATCCCAGGAATCCATTAGAAAATTTAAAATGTCAGTCATTCGACTTGTTGAATGAAGGAGAAAAACAATTTGATCTCTCACTAGAGGCAGAAAAACATTTGACGTAATTCAATATCTATTTATGTTAGACACTCTTAGAAAAATAGAAATAGAAGACAATTTTCTCAACTTGATAGAGAATAATAAAGTTACAGGAAACATCATTTTTAGTGGTGAAATGTTAGAAGCTTTCCCTTTAAAATCTCTTCTATTCCTGATTGTACTGGAGGCCCTGACTAGCATAGACCGACAAGAAACAGAAATAAAAGATCTAAGAATAAGAAAGAAACCACGTTTTTATTAATTTACAGATAATACGATTATCAACATAGAAAATTCCGAATAGTTTGTTGGCAAATTACTAGAAATGATAAGAGTGTTTAGCAAGATGACTGGTTGAAGACCAATCAACAAGAATTAGTTGACTTTCTGTATACCAGCAACAAGCAGAAAATTTAATTAAAAAACTGTCTTTTTATTTAAGAAGACCCAAATGCATGGAGATATATGCTAGTTCATAGACACCGAAATTCAGTGTCATACAGTTCTCAGGTCTTTCCAGAGTTGTTCTGTAGATTCATGTAATTCCAATGAAAATCCCATTAGAATATTTTGAGGACCTGCACAAACTGATTGTAAAATTTATGTGAATGATCAAAGGCCCAAGAATAGCTAACACACTCCTAAAAGAAGAAAACATGGAGGACTTGCCTTACCAGATATTAAGACTTATAAAAAATCTGTAGTAAATACGAATATTGGTGCAAGAATAGAGAAAAAACTTATGGATCAAAATAGAAACTGCCAAAGAAGACATGTGCACACAATGACTTGACTGAGGTGGTATTGCAAGATCATCAGAGAGAGGAGATCAATTTCAAGTAATGATGTGGGATAATTAGATACCACAATGGAGAAAAAAGTGAAATTAAATCTCTAACATCATATCCAAAGATGAATTACCAGTGGATTCAATACCTAAATATGAAAGGCAAAATGTAAAAACTTTTGAAGATAACATAAGGGAATATCAAGATGATCTGAGGGTAGAAACTTTTTAACAAAACATTTAAAAATGCTAATTTTCAGAAGATTGATAAATTTGATTATATTAAAATCAAAACATTCTCATTATTAAAAGATACCATAAAAAGATGAAAAGAAAAGCAATAAACTGGGAGAAGATACTATTAACATATATAGCTAACAAAAGAATAGTATCCAGTATATATAAAGAACTTCTCTGAACCATTAAGAAAAAGATAAATGACCCAGTGGAAAAATTGACAAAAGGTATTTCACAGAGGAGGAAAAGTATGAATGGAACGTAAACACATGAAAAAATGTTCAACCTCTTAAGTACTCAGGGAAATACAGGTTATGATCAGTGAGATACCATTTTACTTTCAGTGGATTGACAAAAATTCAGAAGACGCATGATACCAAGTGTTGGTTGGTTTTGTTAAACGTAGGAATTTAACTTCAGTAGGACTGGGAAAAGAGAAATCCTGGAGGAAATGTCGTTTGTGTTGATGAGTATTCCATTTTAAGGTCACTTGAAAATATTTCCAGAGAGGAGCTGGGACCAAAAGGAAAGAGTTGGTGCCACTTTAGTTTTGAAGCAAAAAATGTTGTTTATGTGTGTGGTAAGAAATATGCTTATCACCTTTTACTTAGGTCCACCCCTCCCTGCTCCAGGCTTTTTGTAATCAGATAGCCCCTCTCCCAACTGACTGTTTTCTTGAAGGAAAGTTATTTAGCTTTAGGCTTTTTTACGCCTTTTTCACATTTAAGGCCCAAGGTTCTGGCTTCACATGTTCTATATTTACAGCAGTCAAATATGTATAGTATACCTTTTGGAAAGCCCTCACCATATTTCTTTATGTACAAAGGGCAGTAAATCTACATAGGAAATGTCTTACGGCCCCAAACTAAGAAAAAGTCTGCCTTTTATTGACATCTTTAGTTAGTTAAAGTTGAAAAGGGGGAATATCTTCATTCTCATCATTACTATCACATTTACACAATAGGATGAAATTATTTTGCATTGTATATTCTATAATGTTCTTAATGTTTTGTATGTGAATTACTTTTTTAATAGACAGTGGATTCAAGCCAGTTATAATTACAACGCCTGTAAGTGCAAAGGTGGTAGATGGAGACGTTGTTACTTTGTCCTGCAATGCCAGTGGACTGCCAGTTCCAGCCGTTCGTTGGTATCACAGCCATGGGCTGATAACCAGCCATCCGTCTCAAATCCTTAGACCTAAATCCCGAAAATCACACTTAGTGAGACCCAAGGCCGTTAACGTGGAGCCTGTCTACTTCGTCATGTCCCGAGCTGGCTCAAGCTCTCTCTATATTCAGGCTGTTACTCAGGAACATGCTGGGAAATACATCTGTGAAGCTACAAATCAATATGGCGCCGCGCAGTCCGAAGCATTCCTCACAGTGGGTGAGTTGCCCTTCGTGTTTTTTCTCAGTTGAGTAGTGTCCTTTTATTGTAGGGGATAAAAGATCTTGAAATATATTTTAACGAATCCAGCAATCTCTAAATGACATTTTTTTCCCTCACACAACAGTGAAATGTAGAGCTGTACTTCTTGGTATTTGGCCTTCTGTGGATCAGATGGACTTTGGTCTTCAGCTTTGATATATTTGTTAAGCTTGTTGTTGTCATATAGAAAGCTGTTATTGGGGAGCAAGCTCAAGATAGGACCTCTTTTTGTGATTAGTGCTTTTAGTTTTCAAAGTTACTGAAAATGTCCTTGCAGACATTTTTAGGTAAACCATTGACAAATGCAGTATTCAAAGTCCAAAGGCTTTGCTTTCCTTGAGAATTGAGAGCTGTGGTTCTATCAAACAGTACCTGTGTGTCTATTTCCCCCATCTCATTTTTCTAATGGGATGCATAATATTAATTCTTTGTATTTTACTGCCTTTTGTTGATAATGACTTGACAACTTTATATAATCTCTGAAGTAATGGTATATAGAATATCAAAATCAGTTCAGATTTGACCTAATTCAAATTTAGACCTAACGTCAGTGGGCCTTTAGAGCAGCATTTCTCAATCACTAGTCAGTTGGATGGAGACTCTCACTGTATTAGCCATGCGAGAGGCAGGTTGTCATGGAGCTGTACTGCCCTTAGTCCCGGGCCTCTGCTTTAGAGGATTTGGTGAAGCCCTCCTCTTGTCTGGGTTCTCAAGTTCCGCAGGTCGGAGAATCCACAGGATTAAGAGAATGTCCTTACTGGGAGCCTGAGCCCCATGCTCCTCTTTCTGGACGTTAGGTCTGGGGCCCCAGAGTTCCCTGCTTTAATTCGTTCAGTCTGGTTCCAAACAGGTCTCTTTCCCTGGTGCATCCTCCAGAGGGTGGACCGCACCCCTAGGGTGTGGACTCCCTAGGCCAAAGGAGCTGCCAGGGTGTGGTCTTTTGCAGGGGAGTGGTGGTGGGGTAGACAGAGCTCAGATGTGTGCGTGGTCTTTCTATTCGCGTGCACACGAGGGCCCTCTAGCTCTGGATGGAGCTGGAGGTAGAAGCAAAGCGAAGAAGGCCAGGGACTTTCATTTATTTATGCTCTTGTGCTGCTCCACAAATGTTTGAGGGGGAATGATGTGGAGGCTTAGCATGGAGGCTATGTTACAATCCTGGCTTTGCACTTGTCAGCTGTGTTACCCAGGCAAGTTCCTGAACCTCTCTGTGCTTGTTTCCTCATTGTGTAACAGGGATGTGACAACATCCTACTCATAGGCTTGATGTGCGAATTCAAGGAGTAATACACGTAAAGTGCTTCAGATGGTGTCTGGCAACAGAAAGCTTTCAATACACACTGAGTATTAGATTCTGATTTTTACTATTACAAGATTATAATTATCCCTTGTGGTGGTGTTTAGGGAAGGAAGGAATCTTCAAATAAAGGAGTTAGTTGAGTATTGTGTGCATTTACACACACATATGAGTCTGTATTATATACGTGTATGTGTCTATCTATTCCTCCAAGCAAAAACAAGAGCAGTTCTGCTCGAAATTGCTAGTTGACAGATAGGTGTAATACAGGAGTTGCTGGGGTAGAATTTAGCTCAAGTGATTATTTATGTGAATAGAGAGAGAGACACAGATGTTATAGTCATAGCTGATGGAACTAGACATTTTACCCAGCTGCTCACTTTAAATATGAGAAATCCGAGGCCTTTAGAAGTTACATGACCTACCTGTGTCCCCGCCATGTGTTACACTCTGCTCGTTACTGCCTTGAGTTCCCTGTTGCCATTTGTGCGGCTTTTCTGCCCCTTCCTGCGTTCTCATCTTTGTCTTTGGGCAGATGTTGCCCTGTTGGTCTCGTAGAGATGAATGTTCTAAGGGACACTTTCCTCCCGGTTGTTGCGTTCATTTGATAGACCTATCTATTATTTGGGTGAAAGGTGATGACCTACCTTGTTTCTTAATTGCTCTGCATTAGATTAGAAGATCCTTGAGAGTCACCCCCCCACCTTCCCACCCCCAGTCCAGAATTTTATGTCTTGATCAACTCTAGTTTTATGTGCAGTAATCCCATCAGCTATTCCCTCCCTAAGTCGTTCTACAGTCCCTCTTTTATATGCTCTGTAATAATTATTAAGATCTGGCGGAGTTTCTTCAAACTCAGAACAGTATGTAACCACCCACTTCTGTCCACAGGAATCCAAGCCTTATTAAATTCTAGCATTCTGACAATCATTTACTTTGTTTCTTGTGAAAGGGGGAGAAAGCAAGGTCCAAGAGGGAAATGACCCCCCCCCCCAACTTTTTCCTTCCCAGAGACCCTGAGTTTCTGAGGTCCTGGATGTACAAATATTTGTAGAATGAGTTGTAACTCTTCAAAACTATAATGGGAGTTGGCCTGGGTTTCCTAAATGGTTCGGAAGGGGAGTTACTGGTATGAGTGGTCACAGTCGGAATATCCTTGACGGATCTGGTTCTGCTCTCTTTCAGCTCAGAGTCATTACATTCATCCACATTGCCGTTCATCCACACTGCCGTACTTACAGTACTCAGAAAGCCAGCATCACCAGTATTTTTCTAATTAAAAAAATATTACCTTAAAGAATGCTAGATATCTCTTCTAGCTATTGCACAGAGTTACACTTTTGGAAGTACTCTTAAGACATTTTTTAAGTGCCCAAATTCTATTATCAGGAATAGCAAAGGAAAGCTAAATTAAATCCTCCTTTTAATAAAAGTTGTGGAAAAGTCTTATTGCATCCTGAATAACAGAGGTTAGTTTTTGATACTCATACAGTGGGCAGGCTGCAGCGTATTTTTTTTTCTCATGCCATGTGGTGTTTAAACTCTTCTACAACCCAATACCACTTCCCTGGGCTAAACCGCCCAGAGGATCCATGGGACTCTTAACTCCTGGGCGGCAGTGCACTGCCTCCACTTGCTGGGGTTCATTTCTCTGCGGGCGCAGGCGCCAGGTCACTCCCTTCTCACCCAGCCTGTGTTCTGACTCACTAGATAAACAGGGCTGTTCCAGGAGCAATATTTTGAAATTGTCTCAGTGAACTTAATTAGCTTCCCTTTACATCATTTTCTCACTAGCTTCTTTTTTTCCTTGATGGAGGATGCTTCTGGGATACCTTTTCTCTCCTTTAAATAAACAGAGAGCCGACCTCACACTGTTAGTCCTGTTTTTTGTTGGTTCTCTACCAAAAGGCAGTCGTTCTAAAAACACACCCACCTTCTACCAGGAATCTGACTTCATTGTGGAAAAGTAACTGTAACGTTGCTTCCTCTGCTGCCTTCCTCCACAAACCAAAAAAAAAAAAACCCGTTGCTGTCCAGTCGATTCCGACTCATAGTGACCCTATTGGACAGAGTGGAACTGCCCCATAGAGTTTCCAAGGAGCGCCTGGTGGATTCGAACTGCTGACCTCTTAGTTAGCAGATGAGCGCTTAACCACTACACCACCAGGGTTTCCTTCCTCCACAAAAGTAGTCAAAAATAAGAGATTTTTTTTTTTTTTGGTTGCCAATATTAATATCACTTCAGAGAAACCAAACTGTCAATCCTTAGTTTTTATTGTACTAGCAACACAAGTGGTTAAGAGCTCAGGCTGCTAACCAAAAGATTGGCAGTTCGAATCCACCAGCCTCTCCTTGGAAACCTGTGGGGCAGTTCTACTCTCTCCTGTAGGGTCACTGTGAGTCGGAATCGACTCAGCGGCAATGGGTATTTTTGTGTGTGTGTGTGTGTGTGTGTGTGTGTGTGTGTGTGTGTGTGTGTGTGTGCGCGCATATACATATATATATAAATTGATCCCTCCCCTTTTTTTTTTTTTTTACAACAGCACCAGTAAAATTCTTCTGCCAGCTGTTGTCACTTAATCTCTTAGAATCCTAATTTCTTCATCTGTAGAGTGGAAGTATTATTGTCTCCCTAAGAATGTTCTTTTGAGACTTGAATGAGGTTTAGTTTATTAAATAGCTGGCACAAACTTGGCATGTAACACGTGCTTAATAATTTTTTTGTTTTAGATATATGCAACCTGTTTATTTTTTCATGGCAAAATTATTTTTACCTTCTTCTGTGTATTCTACAGGCTTTTAGGAATAAGTACTAAAGCCGTCTGCTTGTTTTGTCTCTCTTTAGGTTGGCAACTTCTCAAGCCAACATTCAGTTCTATCCAGAAAGAGAACAAGTTCTGGAAATAAGTAGATTCTTCCTTTATGTATGCTGGTCTTGTTGGTTTCATTTCTTCCCTCTTCTTGAATGTACATTGTTTGCCATGATAGAGTAGGTGTTTTAGTTATTTACTGCTGCATAGCTGACTACCCCAAAGATCAGTAACTTAACACAACTGCCCTTTATTATCTTTTATGATTCTTTGGGCTAACTAGATGCAGCTGGCAGTTCTTCTGCTCGTCTTGCTTGAGGTCTCTTATGCAGTAACAGATGGTAGCTGGGGCTGGAACATCCCAGGGGCTTGACTCACATGTCTGGTGCCTCTGTGGGGGCTAGGACACCTTTCTCTCTCTTTCTCTCCACGTCGTCTCTCCACATGGTGAGCTTGGGCATCTGTCTGTGGCAGCTGGATTCCAAGAGCACAAAAGTGGAGGTGCTAGGCCTTGTTAAGGCTTAAGCCTGGACAGGGTACAGCCTCACTTCTGCCTTCTGTTGGTTAAAGCAAGTCCCAGGGCCAGCTTGGATTTGTTGTCGGGCCCACTGCCCAAGGATGTGAATCCTGGGAGGTATCTTTGGAGATTAGCTGTCCACTAGGTAATTGCCTAACTCTTGTTCATTTCCTTACTATCTCGATCACCTTGTTCCTAACAGAGTGTGTTATCCATTGTGTTTCGTTTACCAACTAGAATTAGCCTCACGTTCTTCAACTAAACTAGCAAATTGTTACTGCAAAAGAGGGAATTCTCGTACAGAGCAATGAAAACATAAAATCCTTTAAACCACTAAAGTACTGCATCATCTAATTGATTTTTCAAACAATTCATTTGCTCCACCATGAGCAAGAGATTGCCACTGGAGGTTTGATGTTTCCATCAATCATAAATTGAAACGCTACACGTTTTTAACTTCTACAGCTCAGAGTGTGCTCGGAATATAGAAGACCCTGAGATGATAAAGTTTGTCCGGTTATTTCTTCTCCCTCTCCCTTTGCAGTTCCTTTTGAAACACATACAAAAGCAGAAGCAGTGACACTGTCCGACGCCGCTCAGAGTGTTGACAGAGAGAGAAGAAGTGACTCAGAAGCCGGATTTCTGAGCTCATCCCCAGTGAGGTTACATTCCAGCGTAGCGGAGTCATCATCCGAGAAAAATGCCAGTGGTGCCTCTGTTCCTGATGCCCCCATTATCCTGAGCCCTCCACAGACCCATACACCAGATACCTACCACCTGGTCTGGAGGTCTGGGAAGGACGGTGGGCTTCCTATCAATGCCTATTTTGTGAAGTATCGAAAGGTAACGTCTTCTCATTTGTCATCTTTTAAGTGTCATGTCTCAACACTGTTTGTATAATACCTGCTTGTTTTCACTCATAGAGTGCTAGAAAATAGGACAAGAGTGTTCGAGAATGATGAGTTTGTGAGAAATATTCCACCAGTCATACTGGATTTCCCCATCTTATAAAGGCATTAAGAACAAAATATAAATAATTTCTTCCCAAATTTGGAATCTAAGAACCCAGTAACTTCTAGACGTTCTTTAGCAAACATTTTAACCTCTTGGGTATAAAGCTGTGTAAACCACTTTCTTAAAAGTAATTTCTTCTCTCTAAGATAGTAGAATACAGTTTATTTAACAAATAGAACTGTTTCTTGTTAGAAACAACTGTTTGAACAAAGTCCTCTGGCATAATCTCTGATCATTGTTTGCATTTCAAATTGCCTTCTTAATTGCTAACCAAAAAGTGAGAGGTTCAAATCTACCCAGAGGCACCTTGGAAAGAAGGCCTGGCAATCTGTAAAAAAAACCAGGCACCGAAAACCCTGCAGAGCACATTTCCACTCTGACACACGTGGAGTCCGTATGAGTTGGAACCTACTTGAGGGCAACTGGTTTTGCTAGTCTTAATTGTGTTGGAATCTGCAATGGTTGGTCATTTATTTTGGTAAGTCTTGGTTCTCTGTCAGTTGATTTTTCAGTTAATGTTTTCCTTTTGTGGGTTTGTATTAGAGCAAAATGAAAAATCTCTTCTCTGTTTAATGGGACTAGTAAGTGAGTGAAGTGGGAGAGGGATGTACTTATATTTAAAATAATTTTCTTTGTCTGAAATTTGTTTTGGTATCCATCATTTAGTACTAATATTCTGAAAAAATTAACATGGCAATATGTGAAGGTTGATCCACTGTTTGTAACCTGATGATTCTGGATAAAGAAACAGTTTTACTTACTGGTAGTCTTACCCACTCTGAAACCTCCATTAATGCTATCCCTTCTTTCAGTTAACCAAGACACAACCACCTAGATCCGTTTTTAATTTATTTCCGCCAACACATATGGAACAGAAATTATGTGCCAAGATATCAAGCAAGATGCTGGAAATATATAATCATAATTATATAGTACATATACACACAAATATGTAATGTAATATATATTTTAATTTATTACGTATTTATGTATATTATATATTACCATTAACCAAAAACTCAAACCAAACCCACTGCCGTGGAGTCGATTCTGACCCATAGTGACCCTATAGGACAGAGTAGAATTGCTTCATAGGATTCCTGAGTCTGTAAATCTTTACAGAAGTAGACTGCCACATCTTTCTCCTGTGGAGTGGCTGGTGGGTTCAAATTGCAAACCTTTTGGTTAGCAGCCGAGTGCTTTAACCACTGCACTACCAGGGCACCACCAAGAATACAGATCATTTTATTCTCCCATTAACTCAGTAATAAAGGAGTTATTATCTCCATTGCAAGTAAAGGAAATAGACTCTGCCTGGTAAAATAGTGTCTTAGTCATCTAGTGCTGCTATAACAGAAATACCACAAGTGGATGGTTTTAACGAAGAGAAATTTGTTTCCTCACAGTCAAAGTAGGCTAAAAGTCCAAATTCAGGGTGTCAGCTCCAGGGGAAGGCTTTTTCTCTCTGTTGGCCTTCTTCTCTTCGGTGTTCCCCTGGACTAGGAGCTTCTCTGCACAGGGACCCCGGTCCAAATGACGTGCTCTGCTCCCGGCACTGCTTTCTTGATGGTATGAGGTCCCCCTGTCTCACTGCTCACTTCTGTCTTTTATATCTCAAGAGATTGCCTCAGGACACAATCCAGTCTTGTAGATCAGGTCCTGCCTTACTAACACAATTGCCACCCATCCTCCCTCATTAACATCATAGAAGCAGGTTTACAGCATACAGGAAAATCACACAGTACCAGGAATCCTGGCCTAGCCAAATTGATACACACATTTTTGGGGGGACATGATTCAAACCATGACAAATGGCTTGCCTGAGATCATGAGTTAGTGGTAGGTGTCAAGTGTAAAATCTTATACAGTAAGAATTCCTGAGTTCTTGCTACAGGTCTCCTTATATTTCTTATTGTACCTTTGTGTCTCTTTTACTGACAATACTATATCACTTTCCAAAATTCATCTAGAATTAAATGAATTCTAGATTTTATCAAATTTGCTGGCCAGATTTAGCAAACCTGTTGCCATGGGGTTGATTCCGACTCATGGGGACTTCACGTGTGTCAGAGTAGAGCTGCGCCGTGGGGTTTCCCATGGCGCTTCCGGCTGGCTTCACACCACCAGCCTTTGTTTAGTAGCCAGGTGCTTAACTGCCCTACCCAGGGGCTGTCAAAGCTGGGCAAAAGGTTGTTCTGTCTCTCATCTCCTGTTGTATTTGGTTTATTTTCTCTTGAGTAGCTCGATGATGCTGTGGGTGTGGTGGGAAGCTGGCACACAGTCCGAGTCCCGGGAAGTGAAAACGAGCTCCATTTAACAGAACTGGAGCCATCTAGTCTCTATGAAGTTTTGATGGTAGCAAGAAGTGCAGCGGGAGAAGGGCAACCTGCCATGTTGACCTTCCGAACTAGCAAAGGTGAGTATGATCTTCCTTAAGAGGAATGAGCTGGCTGGGTTGACGTCAGTTTATTAGTAGTTATCCTGAGTCCCTATGGACAGTGGAAATTCTTATATATAAATGTATTAAGCATGCTTCTTATAGCACCTTTTTTGGCTGCACTTGGGTGGCTGCAGTATTCCATTCCACAGATATCTTTGAGAGTTTATGGTATGTGTAAGACATTAGGGTAGATGATGCTGGGAAAACAGAGATGAAGAAGACAAGATCCATTCTACTGGAGCTTATCCTTTCTAAGGAAGGTAAGACATGTACATAAATACCAACTACAAGGCAAAATTTAATCGCGTACAGCTGATACTTACTGAATGCCTCCTAGGTGCCAGGCATTCAACAAAATAGGCAAAACTGCTTGCCCTCATGGAGCTTATGTTCCAGTTGGGAGATATGTGTACCCAAGTGGTCAGTTCATTACAACGTGGTAAGTGATAGTTCCAGGAGGCACTGGCGTGGGAGTTGTTACCATTTTAAGCAGGTGGTTAGGGAAGTCTCAGTGAGGTGAGGCCGATAGAGAGCCCTGTTGCTACCCAGGGAAACAGCATCCCCGGCAGAGAGAAGAGACGTGCAGAGACCGGAAGGTGGGAGGTGCTCGTGCTCCACAGGAGCATTGGGGCGGCTGGAGGGACTGGACCACAGTATGTGAGCAAGGTGGAGTGGGAGAGGCGCCCAGCAGGATGGCAGATGACCAGCTCACACCAGGCCTTCTACACTGAAAGAGAGATGGGAAGCACTGGCGGTTTTTACGCAGCGGAGCGGCGTGATCTGCTGGATGTTTTCATAGAATGGTTCTGGCTGCAGTGGTGAGGACACGCTGGAGGAGGGCAGCGGGTCAGCAGAGAGACCAGAAGTAGGATGACAAGTAGTGTAAGAGCTTTATAAAGAAAAGGCTACAGGAGCACAAAGACGGGACATTCTTGCTGCAGGGTAGATTGTGAGAGGAGGCTTAATGGAAGGCTGGCATCATAGCTTGGCCTGAAATAAAAATACTTTCATGATGGAGATGGGAATTGAATAGAAGAGTATTTTAGTATGGCACTGTGATAAAAAGGAGGTATGATGACTGGGGAGAAATGCTCTACTGGCTTTTGAAAAAGACCCTTTAATCGAATTGCTGAGACTGCCCAGAATAATAATGATTACTTCTCATGTTAAACATATTTTGAGTTAATTTCCACAGTTAGTCCTTGGTCATTTTTAGGGTCTGACCTCTGTGTAAGTTCTGAATAATAAGCATGTATTTTAATTTTTAAAAAAATCACTTAATTTCACTTTTTGTTGCTTTTTAAAATTTTAAAACTTAGAATGATAATTTGTCTGTGAAGAAGCTTAGTAGAAGCTCTTTAATAACTAATTTTATGTCTTAGAATTAAGAAATATGTACAGTTAAAACCTTCACCTGTCTCTTGGCTTCTTCACCCGTGTTGTTTTTTCCACCTGTAAACTAAAGTTAGTATGATAATGAAAGACACATTTTGGCTTTCCCTTAAAGGTACTAGAAAAAGACAAAGTAATTTTTTAAGTCAGTCCCTCAGATTAGCTAAATGTTTATAATGTAAGTCTTAAGTTTAGACACTGTTCAGATAAGCTCATATATTTATATATCATTTGAAGTTTCACAGTACTCTTTGTTACTTTATATGTACGTAAGCTTATGTTACAGGCTATGTTTTTTTAACTTTTCTAGAGAAAACAGCCTCATCAAAAAACACCCAGGCGTCTGCTCCACCGGTGGGCATCCCTAAGCATCCTGTGGATTCAGAGGCTGCACACAACTTTGGAGTGGTACTCACAGATTCCTCTAGGCATAGTGGAGGTAAAGGAAAGGCTCTTCATTTTGTTCATGTTGTTTGTTTGCAGATGTCACTGACCTGCTTCAGCTTATCTGGGGGAAGGGGTAGAACAGGGTGTTTATTATTCAGATCATGTCCTACCCTCTAGCTGTTTTAGGTCCTGTTCCAATCTCCTGCATTCAGATTTGGTAACCCAGTGGCATGAGTGATGTTTAATTGAATAAACTCAGATTCAGAAGGTTCCTGGTACTGTTTTTATAACTTAATAAAAGGTTTTTTTGTCTCCACCCTGGCAAAGGAAGCCAAATTTATATCTTGAAATCAGAAAGTTTCTTTCTTTTTTTGGAGTGATATATCAAAACATATGGTGTTACTTATGGTAAGATTTAGTTTTTTCATTGAAAGAATATATGTCATACTCGGTTTTATTGCTCCATCTAATCTGATGGTTTTTGAACGCCCAGGCAGTAAACTTTTTAAAAGACTGCTTTTTAGCATTTAAATTGCACACTTACCATTCCACGGTTGTCACATAATGTGCTTTTCGTGATTGGGCTAATTCGCCACCACAGGTGAGAAAAACACAGGATTTCATTGCTGAGCTCAACGAGTTCTCGAACTTCTTTTCCCTCCATTCATGGTTTTCAGTAGGCCATAACGTTCTCACCTGCCTCTGCTTTTACAGTATCACGAGCCTCTTGCCTGAGTACTTGCACCTCTGAGGAGCATTTCAGCTGTCTTACACAGACTACTTATATTTTCAAAAATTGTTTTGAAGATTTTTAAATATTATTAAAATTTTTTTGATATTCATATAAATAATTATCAAAATTTATGTGCATAAGACATCTGAGAAACAAAAACCTCGCTATTTATTTCACACAAACTGTAGTAGACACTTTACTAAATACTGGAGCAGCAGAGACAAGATAGTCCTTACCTTCAGGAAGCTTACAGTATAGAGGATGATACTCACAAACTATATTGTGGGTAATATAGACAAACAGAAAAAAACCAAGCCTGTTGCCGTTGAGTCGATTCCGACCCATAGCGACCCTACAGGACAGGGGAGAACTGACCCATAGATTTACCAAGGAGTGCCTGGTGGATTTGAACTGCCAGCCTTCTGGTTAGCAGCTGTAATACTTAACCGCTACGCCACCAGGGTTTCCAAAGAGAGGGTAGTGGTAGTTCAGTGATAGGATTCTCACCCTCCGTAGGAGAGACTTGGGTTTGATTCCCAGCCAGTCTGCCTCCTGCAGAGCCACCACCTGTCTGTCATTGGAGGTTTTCGTGGTGCTGGGATGCTAAACAGGTTTCAGGAGAGCTTCCAGACTAAGACGAACTAGGAAGAAAAGTCTGGTGATCTACTTCTGAAAATCTGCCAGTGAAAACCCTGTAGATCACAGTGGTCCACCTTCCATTGTACATGGGCTTGTCCTGAGTCAGGGGCCAACCTGATGACAGCTGACAACCACAAAGATAGACAAACCAGTGACAATGATTTTGACTCATTAGCTAGAGATTATGCCCTATGGTATCACGAGAGAAACATCTACGTCACCCCACTTGATACAGAGGAGGGTGAGTGGTGGTAGGAAAAGGCTTACCTCAGCTCCTGGAGCTTAGCCTCAGCAGACAAGAACAGTACAGGTAGGTAACCAAAACAAAACCCATTGCTGTCGAGTCTGTTCCAACTCATAGCGACCCTATAGGACAGAGTAGGTTTCCAAGGAGTTGTTGGATTTGAATTGCGGACCTTTTGATGAGCAGCCAAGCTCTTAACCCCACCGCACCACCGGGGCTCCAGATAGGTAGGTAAAAAAGCAGGAAAAGAGTGCTCCAGACACAGACAGCTGCTTGAACAGATGACTGACGTGTTCGATTTCATTTAGAGATTTCATTCACTGTGACTGGTGCTGTGGGAAATGAAGCTAGAGTGGGATAGGGGCCTTGTGTGATGCGCTTCAAGTTTAGAGAGTTCCCTAAAATCTATGAAGAACCCTAAAGGGGTTTAAGGAAGGGAGGAATGGCAAAAGATAAGGCTAGAAAAATAATACAGATAGTGGCAGTGCGAACGGAGACAGGAGCGTATATGACAGATTAGGGCAAATGAATCTATACTGAATGAGAGGGAGAAATAGGGTGACTTGGGTTGGGCAACTAGGAGCTATTTACCAAGATTTAGGTCATAAGAGTTTTAAGGTGAAGGTTATTGATTTAGTTTGCAGGGATAACTGTAAGAAGTTATTTATGTTTGCAATAACCCTGTGAGGGAGGTTGTATATCTGTTTTATAGATCAGGGAACTGAGACTCAAGGAGATTATGAAACAGGCCCACAATCATCCAGAAGGTGGTGGAACTGCTGTTCAAATCCAGATTGTCTAAGTCCAAGTGCAGTGCTCTTTCTTTCACACCCTGTTAACATCACATGCTGTTTCTTTTACCTATTGGAAATATTGTTCTCTGTAGAGATAGTTTTCCTAAGATTTTCTTTTCCTATTTGATCTGTGGTGTTCTTTGATGAGTTTTAACCTCATTTGAATCGACATAAGAAGTTGTCTGGATGTATAGTATAAAAAAAGCATCCGATTTACTAACAGTTCTATTCATTCTGTTTCCATTGCTTTCTAACTCGAAAGGAATACAGTAAGTATTACTCAAATTGTCTGCTTTGCATGTATTTTTTTTTTTTTAACTCCTTAAGCAGTTTGTTTATAAAATGCTGCAATTTTCTCCGTACAAGTATTCAACACTGTTTTCTTCCTTCGACGTATTTGTATTCCACCACCCATCTGTCAGTCTGTCTTGCTGTGGTGCCTCATGTGTTATGATGCCGGAAGCTTCACCACCAGTATTTCAAATACCAGCAGGGTCATCCATGGTGGACAAGTTTCAGCAGAGCTTCTAGACTAGGTCAGACTAGGAAGAAAGGCCTGGTGATCTACTTCCAAATAGTAACCAATGAAAACTTTATGGATCACAAGCAAATATTGTCTGATATAGTACTGGAAGATGAGCTCCCTAGCAGTAACACGAAGATGGTGCAGGACAGAGCACTGTTGTGCATGGGGTCACCGTGAGTCAGAATCAACTTGACAGCGGCTAACGACAACAACGTGTATGTGTATTGTTGTTTGAAGAGGTGTTGAGACAGAGGGTATTGCCTGAGGTTCACCAGCCCACGGCTGGGCCCTTAATGTTTCAGTTCTAGAAGCGTGATTGTCAGCATGCCGGAAGATAGGCAGTCTCTGGGAACCAGCTCCCATTTACAGAGTCCACAGGTGCCCAGTGGAAACCAGGATGGCACTTTACTGATGTGCAGTGTGACCAACATGCAGACCCTACACACTGTTCCTATCAGCATTCTTTCCTATAGGAACCAAGTGGGAAGCCAGTTAGAACCATGAGACCGCGTGGTCAGCAAGAGGAGTTAGGTACATGGTCTTAAGCCTGATGTTCCCACCTGCCCCAGGGGCCAGACGGTTTAATTTGTGCGCTGGAGCGTCTCCTTCCCTTGGCAGTGCTGACTGAAAACTGCTGGATATTAGCTCTCTGACCCGCTTTTTTCTCTGTGTTCATGTTGATCATCTGTTTTGTTTTGACACACCTTTCTTTAACTGCCTGTCCTGTCTTCCCGCTTTCATCCCGAGCACCGTGCTCTTCCCATTATTATCAGTATTAATTTTATTGGTCAGATTTTATTTCTGTTTACCTCTTGCCATCTGTATCTTGGAGTAGCATTCCTGAAGCCGTGAAGTGTGTTAAGATAGGATATACTAGTAATTCCTAATATAATCATCTGTGCGTTGGTTTGGTGAATGTGTTTTACACCGCAGGGCTCCTATAGCGTGGATGAATAAAGAAAAATATTGAAACGTGATCACATATGGTTGTGAAATGTTATTGTAAATTATACCCACTATCAGACTCGAAGTACCAAACAATGCTATAGCTTATACATAGTTTTAGCCACGAACTTTATCGTCTTTTTACTTCCTGTAGTTGACCATTGTTTCCCATTAGCACTTTTAGCAGAGGACAGGAAAATAGTCCTGACATTATTAATTCTGGCAAATGTTTGATGAAGAACCTTTAATAAAATGAGGTTTGGGATTTATACCTTTTAGTTTATTTAAGTTATTCTGGTTTTTTTTTTTCCTTCTTTTCCTTTTGGAATTAATTTTCAAGCATATACAAAATAGGGAGAATGGCATCGTCTTGCCAATCTTACTACTTAAGTTTTTCTCGTCTCTGACACCGTGGGTTACTGAAGTGAATACTTCTGTTTTTAGTTCCAGAGGCCCCAGACCGGCCCACTATCTCCACTGCGTCAGAGACCTCAGTCTACGTCACGTGGATTCCTCGGGCAAATGGGGGTTCTCCCATCACTGCCTTCAAGGTGGAGTATAAGCGGATGCGGAGCAGTGATTGGCTGGTAGCAGCTGAAGATATCCCTCCCTCCAAACTTTCTGTGGAAGTTCGTAGTTTAGAACCAGGTAATTTTATCGAAACCTTTTCTTTTTTATCATGAGTGCTGACTTTAGGTGCATGTTTTTCAAAACTTTATATTTTTCTAATTGTAAAGTAATATGTGTTTATTATATAAAAAATACAAAATGGAGAAGAGTAAGTCACCTGGAATCTACCCATCCAGAAATAATGGTTGTTTGCATTGTGGTGTATTTCTTTCTAGCCTTTTTTCGTTTTAATAGAAATGGGTTATGCTGTAAATACTGTTTTGTGACCCTCTTTTCCCCATATTAGATCATGGGTGTTTTCCAATATCATTAAAAATTCTTCAAAAGCTCCGTTTCTAATAGCCGTATAATCTACCGTTTAATTGTATCATAATTTCCTTAACCCACTCTCTATTGCTGGGTTTTAGATTGTTTCTTTTTTTTAATTAATACTTTGTGTTTTCGGCAAAAGTATACACAGCAAATTAGGTTCCCATTTGACAGTTTCTATACAAATTGTTCAGTGCCATTAGACATTATATTTCAGTGACATTACATTTTTCACACCACGTCATCTTTCTCTTTAATTGCCGTCTGGTTGTTCCATTCCCAACACTCTAGCTTCTCTGCCCCCTTATCTTCTTAGCTTTGCTTCAGAGTACACGTAGTCTTCGACTTATGATGGGGTTCCAGTCCGATGACCCTGTTGTAAGACAGTTCTGATGTAAGTTGAATACTTCTTTTTCTTTTCTTCCTTTGTTTTTTAGTCTTCATTAGTATTGCCTTTTATTATCAGTATCTTTATAAATCTGATCTTTGCACATCTACAAGTGAACATCAGAGAATGATAATATCAGCAAATTACGTGCTGTAACATTGTACGTAGTATATATTACTAACGATAAGATGTACCAAAAAAACAAAAGGATGTTCATAAGTGCAGTTCTTTGTAACTCGAATACATCATAAGTCGGGGGACTACCTGTAATTGCTGACCTTTTGGTCTCATGTAGATGGTTTTTTAATGGAGCACTGTACTCACGGGTAATATCCTTTATTTTCTGTGCCAGTCTGCTGTTTGGCTAATGACCTCAGGTGGTAGTTTCAGTTCAAGGTTTAAAGAGTGTATCAGAGAAATAATCTCAGGGAGCCCTCTAGTCTCAACTGGTCCATTAAATCTGGACTTTTTAAGAATTTGAGTTCTGTTCCACATTTTTTTCCTGATCTATCAGGGTCCCTCTATTGTGGCCCTGATCAGAACGGTTGGTAGTGGTAGCTGGGCACCATCTAGTTCTGCCGATCTCAGGGTAGATGAAGCTGTGGCTCATGTAGACCATTAGCCCTATAGACTAGTTTCTTCTCTGAGACTTGTATTTCCTTCTTTCTCTTTTGCTCTTGTTGAGTAGAGACCAATAGTTGTATCTTAGATGGCTGCTTGCAAGCTTTTAAGACCCCAGACGCTACTGACCAAAGTAGGATGTAGAACATGAACTTTGTGAACTATGTTTTGTCAGTTGACTGAGACTAAGGTCCTAAGCCTTCAAACCCAGAAAACCAGTCTCGCAAGATGTTTGGTTATATCTGAGAAGTATCTGTAACTGTGTCCTCTATGAATATATATGTGTGCACACAAATACCTGTATGTCCGTGTACATAAAGATGCTTCTATCTGTGCACACATACGTACACATTTGTACCTACCCATACATATATGCCCATACACATGCATATGTGACCAGACGCTCATTTTCTGGTTGTTGTTGTCAAATAATGTATGTCATATTCTTCAGCACTAACAACCTTTTTTTTCCTTCTGTGTGCTTCTTAGTGGCACCGTTTACTTTGGTCAAGCTATGCTTATTATGCCAACATTTGGGCTACTTTTCCCATCACCAAAAATAGCAAGTATCTGCTACCTAGAGAATGAGTCCCCCTCGCCCCATCTGTCCGTGGTAACCACCAATGAACACTGGTCTCTATATATTTATCTGTGCTTGTCTTCGTATAAAAGTGGGATCATATAATATTTGTCCTTATGCGATTGACTTATTTCATTTAACGTTACGTCCTCCAGATCTATTCATGTTATGTTTCTTGGACTCATCATTGTTCTTTGTGGTTGCATAGTATTCCATTGTATGTATGTACCACATTTTGCTTATCCACTCATCCCTTAAAGGGCACTTAGGCTGTTTCCATTTTTTGTCATTGTGAATAATGCTGCAGTGAACGTGGGTGTGTATATATATGTCCATGTTGCTTTTATTAGGTCTCTAGGGTATATACCTAGAGGGATTACTGGATCATAGGGTATTTCTATTTCTAGCTTTTGAGGAAGTGCCATACCATTTTCTATAGTGGTTGTACCATTTACAATCCCACCAGCAATGGATAAGGGTTCCAATCTCTCCACATCCTCGCCAACATTTGTTATCTGTGTTTTTAAATCAGTGCCATTTTAGCCAGGGTGAGAGGGTATCTCACTGGAGTTTTGGTTTGCATCTCTCTAATAGCTAATGATCATGAGAACCTTTTCATATGTTTGTTGGCCGCTTGAATGTCCTCTTTGCCTCTTTGGTATCTGTTCATGTCCTTTGCCCATTTTTTAATTGAGTTGTTTGTATTTTTATTGTTGAGTTGTTGAAGTTTTTTGTATATTTTAGAGATTAGACCCTTATTGGATATGTCATTTCTTAAGATTTTTTCCCAGTCTGTAGATTGTCTTTTTAACTCTTTTGATAAAGTCTTTTAATGAGTACGTATAAGTATTTAGTTTTTATGAGGCCCTAGTGATCTAATTTGTCTTCTGGTATTCGTGCATTTGTAGTTATGTTTGTTAGCTTACTTTTAAAAAAGATCAGGTGCCATAGTTTTCTCCTAAGAACTTCATAGGTTTGGATTTAACATTTAGGTCTTTGATCCATTTTGAGTTAGTTTTTGTGTGTGGTGTGACATATGGGTCCTGTGTCATTTTTCTGCAAGTGGGTATCCTGTTTTGCCAGCACCGTTTATCAAAGAGACTGTTTCTTCACCATTGAATGGACTTTGACCGCTTGTCAAGAATCAGTTATTCATTAACGGATCGACTTATTTCTGGGTTCTCAGTGCTATTCCACTGGTCTGTGTGTGTATCATTGAACTAATACGAGGCTTTTTGATTACAGTGGCTGTATAGTATGTTTTGATATCTGGGGGCTTCCTACTTTGTTCTTCTTCTTCAATATTGCTTTTGCTATTCAGGGCCTCTTTTCTTTCCATATAAAGTTGGTCGTTAGTTTTTCCATTTCAGTAAAGAATGTTGTTGGAACTTGTCTCGGGATTGCATTGTATCTGTAGATCGCTTTAGGTAGTTTTAGATTTATTCTACTTACTCGCGGTTAGAAATAACATTGTGGAGAACATCTTTGTGTGTGCATGCGCACACGTTTGCTTGTCATTTTACTGAAATTGTTTATTCTTAGCGCTTGTTGTTGTTAGGGGCCATTGAGTCAGTTCCAACTCATAGTGATCCTGTGTGCAACAGAACGAAATACTGCTGTGTTTGAGCCTGTTGTTGTAGCCACTGTGTCAGTCCAGCTTGTTGAGGGTCTTCCTCTTTTTCGCCAACCCTCTACTTTACCAAACACGATATCCTTCTCCAGGGAGGGACTGATCCCTCCTGATACCATGTTCAAAGTAAGTGAGACAAAGTCTCACCATCCTCGCTTCTAAGGAGCATTCTGGCTGAACTTCTTCTAAGACAGATTTGTTTGTTCTTCTGGCAGTCCACGGTATACTCAATATTCTTTGCCAACCCTGTAATTCAAATGCATCAGTCTTTCTTCAGTCTTCTTTATTCATTGTCCAGCTCTCACATGCATATGAAGCAATTGAAAATACCATGGCTTGGGTCAGGGCCACCCTAGTCCTCAGGGTGACATCTTTGCTTTTTAAGATTTTAAAGAGGTCTTTTGTAGCAGATTTACCCAATGCAATACATCATTTGATTTCTCTACTTCTGCTTCTATAGGCGTTGATTGTGGATCCAAGTAAAGTGAAATCCTTGACAACGTCAATCTTTTCTCCGTTTATCATGATGTTGCTTGTTGGTCCAGTTATGAGGACTTTTGTTTTCTTTATGTTGAGGTGTAATCCATACTGAAGGCTGTGGTCTTTGATCTTCATCAGTAAGTGATTAGTCTTTTGGAAATGATACGATACTTAACATTTCTTTGTTCTGTAAATTTCATTTCAGCAGAGGAATTCACCGCATTGCACCCCATGTCTTGGGGTAATATGAAAGAAGTTAAACCTTGAAAGAGTAACACAGTAATCACAGATAAACTGACTCTACTCTTATTTGTTTAGATTTCGTGACCATTTTGGTTTATGGAGTTTTAAATGTACTCTGGTAGCAAATGCCTGTGTTTGTCTAAAAAGTAACATGAGGAACACAGGAACATGTGGGTAGAGTTGGGAGACAGTAGTGCAGGATCAATGTGGTGAAGCTGAGTAACAGTTCACAGACTGACACATTGTCTTGATAAACTCGAAGATTATTTTTGAGCTATTAGGAATTTGCTTTAGGATTCTAATTTATTCTTTAGATTCAGATTTTCAGAAACTCACAATCCTTAGAGGTGCTTTTTTTAAGTTCTTAATAGCTAATCCAAATGCATTCCTTCTGTTGTGGATTAAATCTACTTCCTCTTACCCTGTTATCAGTGGAATCAGAGTGACGTCTGCTGTCACCCACACAGTGCCTCTTCATAAATGTATTCACCATATTAAACTTTGCTTCAGTTGTTTCTTTCAGAGCAAAAAGAACCTAGTTTTGGGGACAAATAACGTCAACGAATACTGAATACTGTATTTGGTGGGTATGACTTTAGAGTAAAATAAAGAGAAAACGTGTTGCGGCTCTTTCCTACTCTCTACCTGCCCCGCCCGTGACAGACATCACTAATCATTCACAGTATTCTTTCCCAGGGAGTCCTGCTAGGGTTCTGGAATGTTGAACCCAGTGCGTTGAACAGCCACTGCCAGCTGGTTGAAGTTGGCAAGCGAGTTGAGCTCTAGTTGCCACACAGGCTTTAGAACGTGTTTCTGTTGTTGTGGGTAGATACTTAAGCGTGGTGGTTTTATCTGAATACTCTACCTTCAGTTGTCTTCTTACAATTTTTAAAAAGTTACGTGGGTTTTATTTTGTTTTTCCCCAAAAGGTTCAACATACAAGTTCCGAGTCATTGCCATCAACCATTATGGTGAGAGTTTTCGGAGTTCAGCTTCTCGACCTTATCAGGTGGCTGGGTTCTCTAACCGTTTTTCCAGCCGTCCCATAACCGGGCCTCACATTGCATACACAGAAGCAGTCAGCGACACGGAGATCATGCTGAAGTGGACGGTGAGCAAAATGTCTTCTCTGATTAGAAGGTGTTCTGTTTTGGTCACATTAAAAAGAAATTTAATATCCTTGTGACACAGAACTGTGAACAGCAAGATTTTGAACTTTTAATTGAGGGGCAATGAAAGGGCACAGCTGTTTGTGTAAAAGCACACATTATTTATGAGCCAGGGTTAAAAATCCAACTATGGTCTCCTAGGCATTCATTCAAATGCTGTCATTTCATGATTTATTCATCTGGAACCATATGTACTGTTATGCTTTGAGACCTAGCGGACTGTATTGCTTTATTTTTGTTCAGCCCTGCAGAAAGCTAAATGCTCTCTCTACCTTTGATTAAATTTAAAAAGGTCGTCAATGATGTTTGCAAAATGAAGCCAGAAAAACATTACCACAAAGATAAATAAATCTTGATTGGTATGAAAATTACATTTGTTTTTGTCTTTGATAAGCTTTTGCTTCTTTTTTTTTTTTAGTACATTCCATCAAGTAATAATAACACTCCCATTCAAGGATTTTATATCTATTACCGGCCAACAGACAGTGACAATGACAGCGATTATAAGAGGGATGTTGTCGAAGGTAAGCCCGTCGTCAAGGTGGGGTTGCAGGAAAGAGCTTTGGCAGAGAGGCTTTATCGATATTATGAAAAATGCCATCTCAGGTTAAGACAGAGTAAAACCGAAAGTAAAAAATACAATGACTTATGGCTGTTGAATTTGTCCCGAAGAAAGAACGTTTTTCCAATTTCACGTACCTAGAACCCCACATTTTGGTTGTGGGAATGGTGAGTTACAAAAATATGGGGGAGATACAATTTGTCGTAGTTCATCTGAAAAAAAATTGGTTTTCTGCTTCCTTTAAATGAATAGTGATGCCTAAGTACAAAAATCAATCGCAGTTTACAGCTATCTGTAAGAAATAATGTATTAATCAAACGGTTTTATTGAAGACTGTACTACAAAGCTCACCTCTTGAGCATGGTGGTCTCGTTCAGAGATGTACTGAGATACTGGAGTGTATGTGGAGAAAAAAGAGCCAGGATGGCAAAGGGTATTGAAACTGTGCCTTTCTACTGCGTTTGGGATCTAATGTGGAATTTCGCATCCAGTCTCAGGCAGGGCTCCACCCCCTGCTGAGATTGGCATTACCACCCCCAGATACATATAATCAGAATCACCCAGGGATCTTGTTAAAATGTAGTTTCTGATTCAGTACATCTGGGGTGGAAATGCCAATTCTCAGCAGGGGGTCCAAGCAGAATGAACTGGAATGGACCGGTTTGAAGCCCTGGTCTCAAGGCCCAGCATGATCTCCCTTGCCCCTGCCCAGACTTCCAGCTGTGTCTCGTGTACCCCGCCCTTTCTCACCATGTGCTCCTTGAGCTGGCCTTCTTTCAGTTCCCTTGCGTGCACCTGGATTTTTCTTGTCTCAGGACCTGTGCTCGTGACGGTGCCTGTTGTCCAATGTGTTCCTCTCCCAGCTCCATCTAGGCCCTCCCATTGTTCTCATCCCTGAATGTCACTCTCTTGGATAAATCCTTCCTGCCACCCCCGCTCTCACTTCCGTCAGGCACCTTTGTTATAATCTCTAACTCTACCCTTTCTGTTTATTTCTTACAGTGTATCGCAGTTGTGTGTGTGTGTATGAAATTATTTGCTTACAGTTTGTCTCCTCTACTAAATATTAACCTCCTTGTGGACAAAGGACCTTTCTTTTTCCCGTTTCTATGTGCCCAACCCCACAATGGTGAGACGTTCAATATTTATTGAATGAATGAATTGAGCCCAGAAGGAAGAACTGAATAGCTGGGGATGTTCAGACTGGAAAAAAGCAGACGAAGGGAAGCAACATGACAGCTGTCTTCAAATATTAAAGGACTATTATGTGGAAGAAGAACTATTATCAGTTGAGGGGGGAGCTACAAGGAAATAGTGTAAGGAAGAACTTTCTAACATAGATGCATAATGAAATAGGTTCCCTCGCAAAGTGCTAAGCTCTGTAATTGCGTGCAAGTGTTGGTAGAGGCTGGATGCCTATTTCTTAGTAATATCTTGGAAGAGATTCTTGCTTTGGGAGAAGGCATTACTTCCAAGGTTTTTTTTTTACTCCAAGATACTGATTCTTTGAAATATTAAATGTCCTAATGGATTATGTCAGAAAATTGTCCTAGGCCAAGATGACTTTTATATGACTTCTTGACATCAAACAATGCATATAGTTTTTGTTACAAGTAAGTCTTATAATAAATATGTTAAATATCCCATACCATGTTTCTTTAAATGTTGTAGCATCCCTTTTAATGTTTAGCCAATGGAATTACTTTTGCCTAGTACCTAAAAAATTCAGTGATCTGGACTTTAATACCTGGTACATAGTAGATGCTCAATAAATATTTGCCAAATGAAGGAATGAATGATTGCTTCTCTTCAGTATGGAAAAGTAGGAAAGAAATTGGTTTTTCAAAATCTGCTTTAAACATAAAGAATCAAGGAAATATGGAAAGATAATTGTTAGTGGCAAAATTTATCTCTGCTCTTAGAAGCGAAGACAGTAGCTACTCTTGGGGGAGACTACTGACTGGAAGGGGCATGAGGAGGACTTTTGGGGTGCCAGTAATGTTCTATTTTTTGACCTAGGTATTGGTACCATGGGTGTGAAAATTCATTGAGATGTAAAATTATGTGCACCTTTCTGTATGCATATTATACTTCAATATAAAAACTATATACACACACACACACACACACACACACACACACACACACACACACACACACACACATATACACATACACACACATGTATATAAAGGAATGAAAGATACTTGTTTGTGACTATTCTGCATTTTAGGCCTAGGTAGGTCTTCATTTTAGTTCATCTGGGTAGGGGAGCTGGAATGTCAGTTTTTTATTTAAAAAAAAAAATTGACAGAGGTTAAACATATCTTATAAAATAGTTCTGAACAAGGCAAATGTAAATAAAATTAATATCCATCTCTGTCTCTCTCTCTGTCTCTCCCTCCACCCCTTTTTCGTTCTGCTCTCTAGAAATATCCACTGGTAAGCAGTTTTTAAACTATATTCTCCTCTAGTTAAACCTTTGAACCTTTACAACCTTCTGTGATGTGAATATTGAGCATGGAATGGGAAATTAACAAAACTTCTGCACATTCAGTAGTCTTGCCTGCAAATGGGAGTTTTGCCCTATGGTTTGCAGAGAACTTGTTTATAAATGTAATATACTGAGCAGTTAGATGTTTAAGTGGGCTTCAGTGTGCTGTGTAATTTGCTTATTCCTTATTTTCAAGTTTATGCATTTGAAATTCTTCCTGTGGCAGTTGGAAGCTCTTGGTCTGTACTTTCAAACCCTGGAACAAAAGCATTCATCCCTTACACATAAAGTTTTCTATAAAATGGAGTTTTAGATTACTTACATGTATTGACCCAACATTTTTCAGCTTTTGAAATAAAATTTGAAACTCAATTTAATTTTATAAGAGAAGAACAATTGTATTATTTAAGTTTTTCTGTCTTCTGAGTTGGAGTTCTACATTTAGATAAACTAGAAATGTTTCCAGAATACCAGTGCTTCTGTGGTGAGTGTTTTTTCTTGTAAACTTAATTTGAGTTTCAAATAAATCAAATTAACAGTTGCCCTGATCTTTAAGTCTGTGCTTTGGTTTCTCCCTGTGGTGAATCCTTACCTTTTCTAAAATACCCTTGGAGGTGGGGGGGAGTTGTTTGTTAAGCAAAGGATATGCTTTTGCCATTTTATCCATTGGAAGAATTACCATAACGATTGCATATTAATCTAACAAGATTATCTTAATTATTTTCTCTTATTAGTAATGTAGCAGAAACCCAGTTTAATTTCATTTGTACTAGTGCTGTGTAGTAGTGTAGTAATTATTCAAGAGAATTTTTATAGTTAAACGAGTATAGGTCTGGTAGGAAAGATCTACGAATAAAGAAAAACCAAGAAGTTTTTGGAAAGTTTTAGATTTTAGAAATAGGTCTATTCCAGTTTCAGCTGGTATTTTAGTCAAAATTCTTTCTGGGTCTCCTATGTGTTGCTGAGTCGGAATCGATTCAGTGGGAACGGGTTTGGTTTTTTGGTTTGGTACTTCTATAAAGACTTCTTGAGTCTTTCAGTGGCCCTGGATCCTAAAACAATCAGACTGTCTTCCTGATAAAATATGGGTCTGTATGAGTGAGGGGTTTTGTATTGGTGACTGGGAAACGGGAGTTGCGCATCCAGATTGGAATATTTTTGTCTGTGTTGAATTAGAAAGGAGCGTGGTGAAATACAGAGGAAAACCTTCTTCGATGGTTAGGAGAGTGGGGAGGGAGGGTGAGGGTTATTCACTAACTAGATAGTAGACAAGAATTATCTTAGGTGAAGGGAAGGACAGCACACACTACAGGGGAAGTCAGCACAACTGGACCAAACCAAAGCTAAGAAGTTTCCTGACAGAGTAGCAGGGGCAGGGGTCTGGGGACCATGCTTTCAGGGAACGCCTAGGTCAATTGGCATAACAAAGTTTATTAAGCAAATGTTCTGCATCCTACTTTGGTGAGTGACATCTGGGGTCTTAAAAGCTTGCAAGTGGCCATCTAAGATGCATCAGTTGGTCCCAACCACCTGGAGTAAAGGAGAATGAAGAACACCAAAGACACATGGAAAGTAGTAGCCCAAGAGACATGAAGGGCCACATAAGCCAGAGACTTCATCAGCCTGAGACCAGAAGAACTAGATGGTGCCCGGCTACCACCAGTGACCGCCCTGACGGGGAACACAACAGAGAGTCCCTGATGGAGCAGGAGAAAGGTGGGGTGCAGAACTCAAATTCTAGTAAGAAGACCAGACTTAATGGTCTGACTGAGACTGGAGGAACCCCGGAAAGCATGGCCCCTGGGTTCTCTATCAGCCCAGAACTAAAACAATTTCGGAGGCCAACTCTTCAGACAGGGATTGGACTGGACTGTGGGACACAAAGTAATACTTGTGAGGAGTGTGCCTCTTAGCTCAAGTAGATACGAGAGGCTAAACGGGCAGCTCCTGTCCAGAGGTGAGATGGGAAGACAGAGGGTTAGGAGCTGGTTGAATGGACCTAGGGAAACGGGTGGAAAGGAGGAATTTGCTGTCACAGTATGGGGAGAGCAATTAGGGTCACATAACAATATATGTATAAATTTTTGTATGGGAAAAAAATTTAAAAAAAGGAGGAAAGAAAGGAGCTTGGCGATTCTGGTCCTGTCAGCCAAGTAGATTTGATATGTGTGTGTGGTTTTGTTTTGTTTTATTTTGGCTCCTCCTCTAATTCTTAAATAAGTTGGTAGTACAGTTGAATTTCTAAGAAACACGGAAATAGTTTGAAGAAATGTTTTGAAGAGGGATTAAAAGTGCCTGAGGAGTTAATTGAGTCTGGCAAAAGGGTCCCTGTGTATTAAAGTTGGTCACAGGTCCATGGACGTAAAAATGGACAGTGGTTTATACTGGAGTGTTCAGTTACAAGTGTTTCTAAATGAAAGGTTGGCTGTGTGCCACCGATAACAGAACTTTTGTATTAGAGATACTTGTGTGGTTTGGAGACCCTGACTCCAAAGAGAGGAAGTAGCAGGAGCAACAGCCGAGAGTTTCCCTGGGTAAGGCACCGTTTGCTGGTCTTGTACACAGTATTGCTTTCTGGGGGGATGACGTAGAGGACTGACTGGCTGGGCTGAAATAGGGATCTGAAGGACTTGAGGCTTTTTACCTGTGCTTTAAACTAACATATATTTTACAAACAAGTCATTATTCATTTTTTTTAATGAAATAGAGTATTACTACCAATAAACAAATATAGCTTTGATTCAGTTGATTGATTCTCTTTACCACTTTTCTCATGCCATGTAATAGGTGTGCTGTTTGTCTGTAGAGCCTTATTCCAAGGCCTGTACTAAATACAGTTGTATTGTACAAACAGCACTTTATGGTGAGCAGTGCTGCTCCCCCTCATTTTGAAAATATTATTATATTGAGACATTATCATTTAGGTTACATGAAGTTTGAATCTTATCTTGCATTTTTCTTTTCTAGGTTCAAAGCAGTGGCACATGATTGGCCACCTGCAGCCAGAAACCTCCTATGATATTAAAATGCAGTGCTTCAACGAAGGAGGAGAAAGCGAGTTCAGTAACGTGATGATCTGTGAAACCAGAGGTAGGAAAGCGGGGTGGCTCTGTGCTTTATCCCGACAGTGAGAGGGTCCCAAGCTCTGAATTGTTCCTTCTGGCTGTGGATATGTTTACCTAAGGAAATTTAGGTCTTGGACCGTTTTCTAGGTACATCCATTCGGACTGTCCCAGCAGAAGTTATAATATGTTGGCTATAGCACTTGTCTAAAAAATAGCTTATATAAGCATTAATCCTGCTCGATAATCTCTGTGTGATTCCATGTCAGTCAGCTCCGTCTCTTTTTCTCCATGAAGAGAATACAAATATTTCCTGACTACTTCGAGATTGCTGAGAATTGGAATACTGAAAAATGTGTAAGAATTTTAAGAAAAACGCTACGTAGGTTTAAAGAGTTTTGTTGAGGTCAGATATGTATAACACAACCTACTTGTTTAAGTGTAGCAGAGACCGCTAATTCTAAATTAATATTCTCAACTCTGCCTATATATATAAACTATAAAATGCTATCATCTTTAAAAACAAACCAAAAAAAAAAAAAAACCCAACAGCAAAAGAAAGCCAGAAGATACCACACATGAGTAATAGTACCAGCTAATCTATATGCTGAGCAAATAATCTTAGAAGCTGGACTATATGAAGAAGAATGCAGCATCAGGATTGATGGAACAACCCGCAATATGCAGATAACACAACCTTGCCTGCTGAAAGTCTTCAGTGTGGATTACACCTCAACATAAAGAAAACAAAAATCCTCGCAACTGGGCCGATAAGCAACATCATGATAAATGGAGGAAAGATTGAAGTTGTCATGGATTTCATTTTACTTGGATCCACAATCAACGCCCATGGAAGCGGCAGTCAAGAAACCATATGATGCATTGCATTGGGCAAATCTGCTGCAAAAGACCTCTTTAAAGTGTTGAAAAGCAAGGATGTCACTCTGAGGACTAAGGTGAGCCTGACCCAAGCCATGATATTTTCAGTCACCTCGTATACATGTGAAAGCTGGACTGTGAATAAGGAAGACCAAAGAAGAATGGATGCCTTTGTAATTGTGCTGTTGGCAAAGAATATTGAATATACCATGGACTGCCAGAAGAACGAACAAGTCTGTATTGGAAGAAGTACAGCCAGAGACCTCATTGGAAGCGAGGATGGCAGGACTTCATCTCACATACTTTAGACATGTTATCAGGAGGGAACAGTCCCTGGAGAAGGACATCATGCTTGGTAAGGCAGAAGGTCAGCGCAAAAGAGGAAGACCCTCGACGAGATGGATTGACACAGTGGCTGCAACAGTGGCCTCAAACATAGCAATGATTGTGAGAACGGCGCAGGACCAGGCAATATTTCATTCTGTTGCGTGTAAGGTCCCTATGAGTTGGAACGGACTCGACAGCACCTAACAGCATCAGTGTAGGTATTCGTGAAGTACTTGCATCCACCAGATAACGCAGTTGCTGTTGAGCCATCCTGACTCATGGTGACCCCAACTCATGGCAGCCCCGTTGTGTCTTAGTAGAACTGTACTTCACAGGGTTTTCAATGGCTCATTTTTTGGAAGTAGAACACTAGGCCTTTCTTCCAAGGTGCTTCTGGGGGGACTTGAACCTCCAACCTTTTGGTTAGCAGCCAAGTGCTTTAACTGTTTGCATCATCTAGGGATCACAGTCTCCGTTAATTTTCACAGCAACCCTAGGGATACTGTCTACTGCAAGTAACACCAAAATCCCTGCTTGATTGGCTTCAACATTGAGGAAATGTATTATTCCAGAAGCAGGAAGTCCAGAAATAGGTAACTAACTCCAAGGTTGTTTAATTCAGTAGTTGAGTGCCATCATAGAAGACCCAGTGTTTCCCGTCTTTCCCCTTTCCACCTTCCCGCTGTCAGCTTGGCCCTGAGACCAGCATTGCTCATAGCCAGCTGCTGTTCTGGGCTTCACATCTGGATGTGGCAGTGTCTGACAGAAAAAGAGGGACTGATCCTTCCTTGTGTCTATTTTAAAGAACAAAGTAAAATCTCCCCAGAGTCCTTCAGTCGATCTCCCTTTGTGTTTCATTAACGAGGACTCGGTCACATGCCACCCCAGACCATTCGCTGGAATGGAAGGATCAATGCGGATTCACCCCAGTGTTACGTGAGGGTCGGTAGACACCTAAACACAGTTGGGTCTCTGCTAGGATGGGAGAAGAAAATCGCTGTTGAATGGATAGTCAGTAGTTTTTGCTACAAGTGATTTTACTGTCCCTTTTTAAAAATCTCAGAAAGACTAAATTACAAGACTTTTTAATTCTCATTTTGTAATTAGAAATTTATTTATTTAGACTCTTTTAAATTCTAAATCATGTGTCTCCCTGCTACAAAACCCACTCATTAAATCCATATTTTAAAAATATATCTGCAGACCTTTAGACTTACCTTGAAATTCATTTGGTTAGCGTATATTTGAGGATCTTTTTGTGTCAGACGCTGGAGTGTTAATGAGCATTTCTTACTTGCCTCTAGAGTGCTGTGATAATCGGAGTGAAGTGACATTTAAGAAGCTAGTCGAGCAAAACATAAAGTAGCACAGGCAACAATGTTGTTGTGATTTGTCACGGTTTAATAGTCTGTGTCTGTAGTAGTAGCTGTGTGTAAAACAGTGTACCTCATTATCTGACTTCGCTGGGAAGTAACGGGTTCTACTTACAGACTGTCGGATCCGTGAAAAGTGAAAAAACGTCGTGAAAATGTTAAGGGTTCCTATTGGATGACTTTCTGAAACGTGTTACACAATTCCCAGCCTGTTTAAATAGAAGATATGCTATCTAATTTAACCTGCTAAAAAATGGCTCAGGGTTCTTGCCGGCAAGAATGATTGTTTTATATTTAGTAATTCCGTAAGGCTTTTAGGAATGACAGAGAAGTTGACGGCCAGCTGTTCCCCCCTGCTCTTCAAGGTCGTAGACTGCCGTGATTTTTCCTTTGGTCTGTCTTTATGTTTTTATCTCACTCACCCTCCCCTGCAAGCCATCTGCCCTCAGATTTTAACTTTAGTGAAAAGGGGTTAGAAACTAGATAATCAAGCTGGCGAGAATTCTGAGTAAACTCAGAGTAAATAGTGAATACACCTGAAAGACATCCCTGTGAGTGATCCTGACTGTTAGTGACGGTCTCTGTAACGTCCATTTTGCCTCAGAAACCTTTTTTGTTTTCTTTATAGAGTTGGCAGGATCTGAGAATTGTGAAACCCAACGTATCACTTGAAGAGAAGTTTCCTTGATAGTCTCTATGCCAAGCAGTCATCTGTCTTCCAGTGATGGAGAGGTCATTCCTTTGAAAGGCATCCTCTTCTTCCCTGATTATTAGCTCTGTTCTCTGTAGTTGAAGTTGCTAGAAAATTGAACTCCAAGTTAGTGTTGTTTGTTGAAGTAGATTTTTTGTGAGACCGCTTTGCTCCCGTGGCTTGTTAGGAGCCGTAGCAGGAAACAGTGTAATAACTAATAATAACAGCAGAATTGATCGAGCAGTTACTGTGTGCCAGGTGTGATTCTCAGTGCTTTACACTGATCAACTCGTTTAACCTCCATTACAACCTTTGATACAGCCATTACTATCATCTCTGTTGTCGGCATGCAGGAGCTGTGGTTCATGGAGGGTAACTAACATCTTACCGATATGATGAGTAGGGGGCTGGGATAGGAGTCTGGGCCATCTGCTTCAGAGACTGGACTTTGGACCACTGCCTTCTTAGGACATTAGAGCATCAAGAGCATGTGACTTGGGGATAGAGAGAGCAAGGTTCGAGACTCCCGTGTTACTAGCTTTTGTTATTGCTGTTCACCAGAATGCCAGTGAATTGGGTAAAAGCACTACATTTACGTGGACTCAAACAGTTGGCATGTTTGGAATGCTTCATTTTATGCATGAGGCTGTTGGAATTGTGTATGATTGTTCTGGAGTCCCTGGGTGGTGCAAACAGTTAAGTGCTTGGCTACTAACGGAAAGGTTGGCAGTTTTAATTCACCCAGAGATGCCTCAGAAGAAAGGCCTGGTGATCTACTTCTGAAAGGTCACAGCCATTGAAAACCCTGTGGAGCACAGTTCTACTCTGACACACGTGGGGGCGCCACGAGTCTGAATCAACTCGATGGCAGTTGTCCACTGGTTATGATCCTTCTAATAGTCCAGCACCTTCTCTTCTAACATAGATCACGTGGTAGGGGCCTAAAATACATAATTCTGAGTCTTAGCCAGCTCAAGGTATCGCAGATTAAAACGTTTTCTTTCCCATCCCTAAGCTGAAAACTTAATTTCGACTCACATGGACATCTTCTACAAGCACAACTAAGCAGATAATTACAGTAACTTGGATTACACTGAGTGCATATGTCTCTTTCTCTTATGATTTCTCTAAAACTTGTGGGCTGAATCTATTCAAGATCTACAACTCTGGCCCATCAGATTTTTAAACTTTTGAGCCCTCCCTGTGGCTCGTCGGTGGTCAGATCATCTCGGTAACAAGTGTAAACAGAGTGGTTTGTGTTCCTAACCAGACCTCCTTCAGAGAATAAACCATTTCATAGAGTCTATATTCATTCTGACATCATGTTTTCCTTTCTATTTCCACTAGTGAAACGTGTTCCTGGAGCGTCTGAGTCCCCTGTCAAAGACTTGAGTACCCCTCCACACTTCTCAGGAAGTGGAGGAAACATCGGGTCTGCGACAAGCCCCGCCAGAAGCAGTGATATGTTATATCTGGTTGTTGGCGGTGTGCTAGGTGTCATGGTGCTCATACTTATAGTTTTCATTGCAATGTGCCTGTGGAAGAACCGCCAACAGAATTCCATACAGAGTAAGTAATTCATAACGGTTTCCTTCTCTTTTTCAGAGGATGGGTAGAAAAATATTGTCAGAATAAATACTGATTTCTAACACCTTCGTGTGTTAGCGTCAGGGTGTAGAACATGTTAGGTACTCTCTGTTCAGAGCAGATGACTTTAAAACTCTTCTAGCTGTAAGCCAGCGTAAGTGGAGCATCAAATTAAATTCCCAGTAGAAATAAACAGCAAAGGGAAAACTAAGCAGGTCTCTAAATAAACAGCTGACTCAATGCTGGGAAATGCTGGCTGTGTCGGACCACCAAAGAGGATGAGTCCTTGAAGCGTGAGTTTTGCAGTTGCTGCAGGAACCCCTTTGTGCTGGTACAAATTGTCAAAAGGGAGTAGAAAAGGCATGATGGAAAGGAGGACTTCAAAGTTACTGTCACTGAATGATGCTCACAGGTGAAGATGACACAGTCCTGTTTCTGTACCTGGTGAACCAGCACTGCTCCCAAATGTGACAGTAATGTTAGGTGTGAACGGTTAGAGATAGCACTGGTTTGAGACACGTAACCTACAGCCCCTTTCCCTTTTCTCTGTGCTCCGTTCTCTTCCCTCACCGTCCTACCTTCTCTGTCCCCCAGCTGCTGATGTATAGGCTAGTCAGATCAAGTGGGGACTTCAGTCTTGGAGGGAAGAAGTTCTTGGTTTCTCCTTTGGCCTCAGAATAAGGGGATACGCAAGAAGGAAAGGGAGATACCATCAGGAAGGGCATTTCCAGCACTTACCAGCCAGCTCCCACTTTATTTTCATTAATAGCTCATGGGGGAGAAAAAGTGATGTATTTTTATTGACTTGGTGCCTTTCGAGAGATTGGGAGGGACAGAGTGGTGGTGGTGTCAGGCTGAAAGGGTTGGTGATCATTTGATTGGGCCTTTTTCTAAGTGGTTTTAATGCCATTCCTTTTAATTGTGTGTGTGCTGAATGGTTAAAAGCATTGGTCTGGTTGGCCAAGCAAGATTAATCTGATTAAAGTAATTTTCTTTTGTGACCAGAGAATATGTTTAAAAGTGAAAGTTTATGATAGTGTTCATTCAGTTATTTCTTCAAAAGATACCTGTTGATAATCTTCTGCGTGCCAGGCACTGTGCTGGACAGCAGAGACATAATGGGAAGTAAATGGTCTCTGCCCTCTGTCTCCAGCTCAGTGGAGAAGATGAGCAGGTATAATGGCAATAGCACCCCCGGGCGAGAAGTGCAGTCATAGGAGAAGCCGTGGAGAGGAGGGTACCGAATCCAGCCTTGGCAAGCTTTATTACCTTTGAAGAATTTATCAAAACTGACAAGGCGTATTTTACTGTTTCTAAATATGTCTGGCATGTGTGCCTCTGGAAATTAGAATTTTGAGGCAGTTGTTTAAATGCTTTTAACCTAAGGAAATGGAATAATTAGCCTTTTGCCTTTGGTACCCCACATCCTCCAACTTGGCTTTGATGACCAGGGAGCAGTATGAGTTAACTGGTGAATGTAAACACAACTCCCTCCTTTTACCTGAAAACGTTGTTTAGCGCTGTTTGAAGTAGCCTACCTAGAGTTGGTCTTTTTTTGTTGTTGCTTTATACAGCTTGCTTTCAGCACCTGGAAGCATATGAAAATTCGGACACGTTTTCTTAGTGTTGCAAGTACTTTGATAGTTTCAACTTGCACAATTTATCAGTTCTCTTTTGGGTTTTTTCTCCTTGGTTAATTTCTCTTCCCATTAACAGAGTCATAATTAACTCAAAGTTCACAGCTAATGCCACCCTGCAAAGGGAATCACAGAGAGCAACAACTTTAGTAAAGCATCTCTCACAAGTAAGCTTTAAGCGAACATTTTTAGAACGCTTTATTCTAGTGGATTTGTAGCTCCTTAGAGGTTCCATTAGTAAACCTTCCTACTCAAGAAGATTGTCCTTTTCAGTATCTTACTTTTTTTTTTGGCTTTTTGTTCTCTGTTAACAGAATATGACCCACCAGGCTATTTCCACCAAGGGTCAGATGGTAACGGGCAGGTGGTAGAGTACACCACTCCCCTGGGCACAAGCCGGGTGAATGGAAATGTTCACGGGAGCTTCGTGAGGAACGGAAGTCTCAGCGGTGGTTGCGCCCATCTTCACCACAAGGTCTCCAACGGGGTCAGCACCTTTGTGAACGGGAGCTTGAACGGAGGCCTCTGCTCTGGGCACACCAACTCTCTGACCAGGACACGAGTGGATTTTGAACATCCTCATCACCTCCTCAATGTAAGAGACCTTCTAATCGTAAACAAAAGCCTTGCCTGTGCTGCAGGGCCCCAGGGTGCAAAAACGGAGTCAGCATTCTTGGCTGTCTGTTTTAACAGAGAAACCTCACAGGTTCCCTTGAATGGAAATAGTATGTATCCCTGGAAGCCCGATGAGCCACAGTACCCTTTGTACGTTTTCTCTTGTCAGGTCATAGTTGCATTTGTCAGTTTGGTTTGTGTTTTTAAATTATTTAATACTGAAACTGGAATCTCAATGAAGAGCAGACTGGAAGTTGATCTTGAGATGAAACAGAAATGCTATTGGGCGTAGAGCAGACCAGACCCTTTACATTTGGTTTATTCAGAGCAGGGTCTGAAAACTCCCACTGGAAGAGTGAGGCAGATAATGAAGCTGAGGGAAGCAAGCTGGGGAGGAGCCAGCGGTGGGGACCAGAGCTAACCAGAGACCACGTGCGTGGTCTCGAAGCAGCAGCGAAATGAAGCTCTGGTTGCTTGTTGCCACCCGGAAGGGAGCCCAGCGTTGCCAGACTTTCTGTTTTTCAAAACATCTGCAAATCTAGGGGATATCGCCTGGTTTTTACATGTTGGCAACTCATTCAGATTTTTAAAAGCATTATGTAGGTCATGCAGAATATGTCAGCAGGTCACCAGATTGTGCCTTCTACCCCGTCGAGGGTTTCTTTCTGTTTGTGTTACCCAGTATGTTGTGTTGTTACTGTTTTGCCTGTAAGATTTTTGCATTTTGTGATACTAATATTCTTTAGACACAGGGAGTGAGAAACCTTTAAAACTGCTTTATTTCAGGGAGAATTAGCTGATCTAGTTTAATTTTAGAAATGGGAATAGGATGATTAGCATGTTTTCGTTTATGCTGGTTGAAGAGACTTTCTTCACTAGGAAGTTTATTTGTTATATAGTATATGTATCCACATTATTCATCAGTCAAACAGAGAATTTGTTTAGTTGATCAAATTGAGCACTCATTGTTCTTATTCCAGATAAACCTACCAGTGTTCTGAAGTTCATTTGAAGTTTAAAGTTTTTTTCATCTTCAATTTTAATAATGATTTATCAAAATATTGCATTTGGAGAACAAAGCTATAATTATTTGCATCTTAAAGCTAGAATCTAGTACCTTATATATGACCTGGAGCCCTGGTGGCACACTGGTTAAGAGCGCGGCTGCTAACTAAAAGGTCAACAGTTCGAATCCACCAGCCGCTCCTTGGAAACCCTATAGGGCAGCTCTACCCTGTCCCGTAAGGTCACTAAGAGTTGGAATCGACTCCACGGCAACGGGTTTGGTTCGGCTTTTTTATATGACCTAGCTTTTCTGTGTTATAGAAAAAATATTTAATTTGCTTTAGTGCATCTTAGTACCAAAAGAGAATAATGATTTCCTTATTTTGTGTGGAAACACATGGCTTATAGTCAGAATTTTTAAACTTTTTTTGTCACGATTCCTAGTCCAAACTACTAATATTGTCCAAGAAGACTGAAGGAGAGAAGAGAGCGCATTACAGTTTGAACAGCACATGCTGTTTCCATAAGAAGAAAAATAGGGCTAATGTTTGCTTTGGTATTTGAAGACAGTACTTTGGTTTTTTTTTAAACAATAAATTGCTATTTAAATAGCAGTTGTCCCATTAGGTGTACAATTTTAGAAGTTATCATCTGTAACCCTAACCCATTACGTTTCTTATTCTCCTCTTCTAGATGGGAGGAAATAGGAAAATTTAAAAATACTAGTGATTATTGAATTAACTTCTAATTTGTTTAGTGATTCAAATAACTGTATTGCCCTGAGAGCTAAGTTCATTTTCTGAACTTTCTGAGTTCACTTCATGGGCTGAAGAGAGCATAGGAATATTCCTTCTCTCAGTGTTTTCTTTGCTAGTTGGATCAGGAATGCTGAGAAAGTTTTCAGCGCTTTTGGTTTGTTTAGATTCTGGCTGTTGTTAAAGATGAGGGGAAAGTATTCTAGGAAAAACAATTGTCTGAACTTCTGCTAACCTTGAAGGCCTGCTTTGGCTTGGGTGCAGCCTAGCGGCCCCTCCCACCCTTATCAAATTCACGGCTGCTGTTTTTCATCTGAGGGCAAGATTCTGACTCTAACCATAAAGCTACTTCAATTTTTAGCTTCATTTTCAAAGAGCTCTTGCCATTGTGAGTATCAGGTGACCATTTTACAGTGAGGTATGTGTTAATCTGGGCATTTGTCTTAATTGCTGAGCACTTTCGGCCAAAAGCGACATCCAAATATTAATACTCTCCTCCAAGTCACTGCTGGCGAGGAGTCTACTCCATCTGGAAAAATATAACATATTTTAAAAGGTAGTGTAGTCAAGTGAACAGACCTAATTGGAATCATTACAGGAAAGTGAAGATGGCTTTATCTTGTGACATCATTTGAACTGATTTCACACTCTGGCATCACATAAAATTCTTCCGTGAGTGTTAGAATAGTGAGCATGAATGGGAGTTTATGATGTATACGAGATGTATTTTGGGTCCATTAGGTTTGAAATACTGAAGGGAAGTGACTAAACTTCTCCATTTACTTGCCTTTTTTCCAGTACATGTTTTTCCATGTAAAACATGGCAGTTACATTTTTGTGTGTGTGTGTGGTATGCGTTTAATATTGTACGGAACTCTACAGAACTCATATGTGAGCATAAGTAAATAATGATAAGCATAACGTTGCTCAGGGCGTTACTATACCGTATGGAATGTATCCATTTATTATTGACGGGGCTTTGAACTTTGGGTTTGTTTGGTTACTGGTCTGTGGCACCTTGAGCATTCTTTCTTCTTTTTCCCTGAACTTCCTTCTAAAAGAGCGGTGGGATGTACAAAGCAGTGCCTCAGACTGACCCGTTGGAGTGCATCAACTGCCGAAATTGTCGTAACAACAATAGGTACGTTCGTATAAATTCGCATAAGTTGTTGTGAATAAGGTGTATTAATCCTTTTTCTCCCCCTTCAGCAAAAACAGTCGTTGAAATTTTACCTATGACATGAGGCGCTGAATTTGCAATCTTAAATTTAAGGCTGTCACTACATTGTTTTGCCCATTTTACAGTCTTTATCTTCCTGCACCTGTGTCTTTGGGTATGTAGTGGCAATACTGAACACTGTTTCTCACTGAGATATTATTAAGAGGTTTGATGTTTTTGAAATCTTTAGAGTCACTCCTTGTATACAGATTTTATCTTTTCTCACTCGTTATTTTCTACCCTGTGTTATAGGATATCAAGAGAATGAGTGAGAGCATGCTTGAATGTTAAAAAGAAAAAACCTCTGTGTATATAGTAACGTTTTATTGTAATGATATTATTGAACTTCTAACGAGATTACTCAGTATTTTTTTTAAAACTCTTAAAACCTTAAGATAATTAAGTTGCAAAATTTTGCTTTCTTTCAATTTTACATTTTTTTAATTTTAGAAGTAATATGTACTCACAATGTTTCAAACAAGATAGAATTATATACAGTGACATGTGCATTTAAATTTTGACAATATTCAGAAAGCTTTTATACTGCCTTTATATATGTTAATTCCAAAGGATTATCAGAGTTTTGGGTTGTGTCTGCCAGAAAATCCTGATTCTTTTACATAATGATGACATTGGATTAGATGGTCTCTGAGAGTCTCTCCAAGCTCAAAAACTCTGCAGTTAGAAAATTATATTATAGTTAGTACACATAATACGTGGAGTATGGATTGGAGTCTGGCTATTTCTTTATTGAAATGGGATTTGACCTATATTTTTTTTAAATCAATGAAAAGGTTAAGAGTTGTCTCTGGGAGTTACAGAAACCAGAACTTGAAAAAGGATCTAGTAAAACATAGAGAATTAAAAGGGCAGGTATGTGATGCTTAATGTCCACGATATGGTCTGGAAATAGGACATTATGGGATTTGGACGTTGTGCGAACACCATATAATAAGCAGAAGAGAGGCCCGCAGGATGGTCACCAGGCAGGCCCGGGGCCTGCGCCACCACCACTGCACCAAGGGACTGTGCAAAAACTTTGGTGTGCCTGGTCTCCGAGAGCCACGTCCAGCCTCCACCTCGGCATGCACTTGTCCAGCCAGCTGCCTCCAGGTGCACCACTGGCTCCTTTCCCTTTCTTCCTCCTGCCTGCTTTCCCCACCCCTACAATGGGCTTTTAACTCTTCCGGCCCTGCCCCCTCCTCCACGGCCTCCTCTGCCTCTGCCTCTTCCCCTGGCCACCTTTCCTGCTCCTCCTCCCACTGCCACCGCAGCCCGGACCTCTCGGCAGCCACCACTGTGGGAGGAGCTGTGGTCTCGGGCTGGGCATAACATACAGGGTACCCTGGCCAACTGGGGCAGAAGCCTCAGCAGGGCATCCCTCTTGGTGGCTCCAGCGACGTCTGCGTGGTCCCTGCCTGACAGACAGCCACGGCTGAGCTCCAGGACCCCCTTCCCCTGCCACCCCAGGGCCAGGGCTGACACAGGTCCCAGAGAGCTAGTGACAGACAGATATGATCTACAGTACTTAGCAAAGTACGTCCGCTACATCCCATTCCCAGTAGGGATTTCTGAACTCTATCATAACCTTATGGGACCATGGATGTATATGCGGACGGACATTGCCAGAACGATGTGTGGTGCATAGCTATACATTGTTTCTGCATGAGTTCTGAGAGCTGCAGAACTAAAAGCAGTGAAGCCTCTTGGAGATGTTTTTGTTATCATGTACTGAAGTCATCTTGGGGTTTCTGTATTGGCAAGAGCTGCTGCCTATTTTATGTATTTTACGTACCAAGAAATTTACTTGTTATATATTTAAATTCTAGATGACCCTAGTTTTTAGGTTTTTCAAAACAGCGAAGCCATATTTTTGTTCTGAGCCCGTCTTAGGCTTTACAACAATTTGTAGGAACATGCTAAAGAACTGGAAAAGGTGTTTCAGTACACCTGGTAAGTAATCAGGTGGATTTAGTTAAAACAAATGATTTTGCCTCTATATATGATGTGTTTTCCTTTATGGTTATTGTGGCCATCAGCCCATCTTGACTCTACCCAGACAATACATTGGTGTCTTAGGCTGGGTTCACTAGAGAAGCAAAACCAGTAAAGCGTGTAAATATCTCTATAGAGAGATTTATAGAAGGGAAATGTCTCATTGGTTGTAGAGGCAGGAACATCCCAAATCCGTGGGTCAGGCTGGAGGCTTCTTCTGATTGACGTAGCTACAGGGGCTGGCAAAGCCATGATCAGCAAGTCAGACAGCAGGGCTCTAGCTCACGGGCTGCAAAGACTGATGAATCCAAAGATCGGCAGGCAAGATGGCAGGTAAGCTGCTAGCTCAAGTCCCAGGAACTGGAGGTCAGACAAGCAAGAGCCGACTACAGGATCCAGTGCGAGCAAAAGCCCATGAGCCTTGCCAGAATATCTACCTATATTGGATACAGGCCACACCCCCAAGGAAACTACCTGTCAACTGATTGGCTCCTCACAGCAGATCCCATCATGGAGGTGATCACATTGTATCAAATCTCATCATGGAGGTGCTCACATCATCATACAACTACCAAACCACTGAGAATCATGGCCCAGCCAAGTTAACACTCAACCTTAATGATCACAGTTGGTGTTGTGAGAGGGACTCTGGTCTAAGAATAAGTAGATGAAGGCTTCACCACTGCTTAAACCTGTGATCTTGGGAAAGTTATGTAATCTCTCTGAGATTATAAAAATGAATGATTGTCCTAGATAATGTAAGGTCTCTGTCAACTTTCCTGACATTCTCTGATTGTAGACTTTGGTCATTTGCTGCCAGCCATGTCTTTATGATCAGATATTATTTTAGTATCAAAAATACATCCCATTTCCTTAAAAGGATGTAAATGACCTGTATCATCCTGCAGTAATGGCTGCCCATGTTCACATGTGTGTAGTATTTTTGGAGTTCTTATTCCACCTAGTTTTTCCCTTTAAAACAATGGGCAATTGCATTTCTATTGATTTTCAAGTAAATGACTTCCTGCATTTCGTGTTTGGCGGTTGTACTTTTATCTGGGAACATAGGTAAATCTCTTCAGTCTGAGAAACCAGCTTCTGTTTCTTCTTTGCTTAAACTTTCTTCCTGCGTAAGAGTCTGCCTGGTTAGGAAAAGTCTTTGATTGCCTGCATTGCCTCCAAGGTTAGCTAGATACCTCACCTGACCCCCAGGAGCCATTGTGTGATTTTGACACTTAACGATTGGACAGATAGTATCAATAAGTACCTATTTCCAACTCTGAAAAGTTGGAATCATGGAATTTAAAGCTTCTAACTCTTTTAACTTTGAAATGAAAAATGTCTGCTGTTGATCCCCTCAAATGGCAAAATCTGTAATAAGCTTTGAATGCTGAGAGGCAGATGATGTATGATTTACTCTCAATGTATGCAAAATTGTGGCCAGTTTACACTTTTAGAATATTGACATCATTGCTAAGAATTAGTTTGCATTTTCTAATGCCAACTGAAATAATGTGTACATAGGAAGAGGCATGATTTCACTTAGGATAGATGAGGGCTTTCCAGTGGGCACTGGGGAGTTTCTGGCTGTTCGGTCAAAAAAACATTTACTGAACACTAGCCAGCCACTGGAATAGGTTCTTCAGTGTTTCCATGCTGAAGGAATGACAAGAACAGAGCCATGGAGGTAAGAGGGGTAATATTTACATAGGAGTAAATAGTCTAGTTCAGGGTTCACTGGGAGGGCTTGTAGAATCACAAACCTCTAGGCTCTACTCCCAGATTTTCTGATTCCATAGGTGTGTGATGGGCCTTAGAAATTAGCATTTGTAATGAGTTCCCAGGTGATGTTGATGCTACTGGGCCTGGGTTCTGCTTTGAGAATCACTGAAATAAGTTGACCAGCTGGGGACGTGCAAGCAGAGAGGAGTAGGGTATAAAACTGGAAAACTGGACTAAGTTTATATCATGGATGACCCTGAATGTCAGGGTTTAGTAGTTTATTTAATAAACATCTATCGAGCGTCTAGGAGTCCCTAGGTGGCACGGATGGTAAGCGCTCAACTGCGAACCAAAAGGTTGGCAGCCTGAACCCACCCAGAGGTGCCTCAGAAGAAAAGACCTGGCATTCTTGCGAAAGGTCACTGCCCTGAAAACCCTATAGAGTGCAGTTCCTACTCTGCAACACATGGGGTCACCATGAGCTGAAATCAGATTGACGCAACTGGTTTGGTTTTTGGTCTGCCATATACTAGACACTGGCCGACACGCTATCTGCAGGGAGCCCACAGTCTAATAATGTTGGTTCTCAGACAGTGCTAGGAATATGCTGAACAGAGTTTACACACTAAACGATGTAATTTTATATTTAAGGAATGTTATCAAAAGGGGATATATGTTAAAGGTTGAGAAACACTGGTCTAGTACCATCATAATTCTTTTGAAAGATTTTGAGAAGGGAGGAATCTGTTCAGAGATACGCTTAAGCTTGACTAGTGGTAGCAGTGCACAGGCTGGATTGAAAAGAGGAGACCAGTTAGACTGTTGCTGTGTCGGAGGAGGAGACCAGTTAGACTGTTGCTGTGTCGGAGGAGAAGACCAGTTAGACTGTTGCTGGAATGAGGGAGGAGACCAGTTAGGCTGTTTCTGGAATGAGGGAGGAGACCAGTTAGACTGTTGCTGGAATGAGGGGGGAGACAGTTAGACTGTTGCTGGAATGAGGGAGACCAGTTAGGCTGTTGCTGGAATGGAGGAGGAGACCAGTTAGACTGTTGCTGGAATGAGGGAGGAGACCAGTTAGGCTGTTGCTGGAATGAGGGAGGAGACCAGTTAGACTGTTGCTGGAATGAGGGAGGAAACCAGTTAGACTGTTGCTGCGATGGAGGAGGAGACCAGTTAGACTGTTGCTGGAA